CCCGCCATTTTGAAAAAGTCCGATGAAAAGTTGTCTATTTGAAACGATGTTTTTTATTTAAAGGACTGATTCATTTAATACCAAAAAGATGTATTGTAATGATGCACGTGCTTAACTAACCAGAAAGACATAAATTATGTTCATACATCACGCACTCAAGAAGAAAAAAGTCCTAAACATGGAGGTCCCGCTGAATCGGCCTCAGACCTTGTATACAGCTATAACCACGCTCGGCTGTCACCTTGATTGGATAGTAAACGATTGTCGTAAAATCGCTAAATGATATTAAAACCGGGTGCATAAACTTGAAAACCACCTAGGACAACCTTAGACTGCCACATTAATCCAATACAATGCAAAAATAAACTATAACAAGTGGTTAAAGCCTTCAAACCGAATGTCGTAAAGTCCCCATATACCTCCATAGAGACAATAAAATAGGGTAAGCTGTCTATAGTCCGAAGGTTCATTGGTCCGAAAAGTGGTAACATTTTCATCGATTTTTTAATCAAGGGTTCATTGGTCCGAAGGTTCTATAGAGAACATTCGGACCAATGAACCTTCGGACTATTGAACCTTCGGACCATCGCTACGGCCCCCTTGAAACAAAGATGGGCGCTATTAAACAGTCTGTCCGCAGATTTCGAGCTGCGCGTGCACACTGACTGAAGCGACGGCCATTTTCGCACTACTTTCAGCAAAATCGAGTGAAAATGGACGACTTTTGAGCTCTTCGTATTTTCATGTGTAGTTTTGTCAACAGTTGATGTGATTAAACGATAGATATATAAAAAGAAGCGGGAATATCTAGGGATTCGGAATTTTAAGGTTAGTCGTCATAAAAAATAGATTCAGAACGGTAAAATGAAAGGTTTATCCACGCGGGTGATTGCAAATGGTGCCCCGTTTCAGGTGTCCGAAATTTTCTATTTGAAGATCTCTATAAGAAGTTTAAATTGTACAAAGTTTTAAAAACTAAATCATGAAAGCTGGTTAAACTGGGTCTCTGGCAGTATATATATATTGAAAATTCAGCTTTGTCCATTTTTTTTAGCGCGAGGTGAACTCGACGCCAAGCACTCGCAATTTTGAAGCGTGTGGCACTAGGGTGTTTCAATTTAAACAAAATTGCTACAATGTTGATATCACCAGCGTTTTATATATATTCTAAAAGGTAAACAAGTGTGCTTTGTGTTGATATGAAACACATGTTGCGTTTGGGTCCCAACTCGTTGGCAAAGTGTTCATATTCCCGTGAAGTCGGTGTAAAAGTCGGCAAAATCGATTTTTTCAAGTGCAGTAGGCTACTGTGATAATGTATCGCAGGAAACGCAAAATATTTTCAAACAATTACATCCTGCAGAAAGATAAGATCATAAACTTTCAAATGATATATCATAAGGCATGTCTCCTACAATTTTTACCCATTTTGTGTGAGGAAATTAGTGCATCTCCAAAACGACGACAAAAATGGAACCCCATTTTCATCATAATTTATAGCGTCACGTGACCAACCTGAAGCACTGACCCGACTTGGCAAGACTACAAGTTTTCTCAAATATTCTGAATATCAGAGCAAATAAGTTACAATAAAATTAAAATACAAACAAGTGCTGTACATCTAACATCAGAAATATTCCAAGTTATATGCTTCATTCTTGAAACATCAAAAATGGTATAGTTATGACGGTTGACCCACTCCACAAGAAATCCAGTGTGAATTTTGACCAATATAGAAAGATATTGCTAGATCTAGTTATAAATAAAACAAGATTTTTTTAATTGGATAAATATTTACAATGAAATACTGGCCTATGGCCAGGTTGTACTTTTTAAAGCCCGAAAGGGTTTTGATAAAAAAACCTTTCAACACCGGTTTACCATTTATTCATTATATTAAGATCTGCACTTCTGCCTTGTTCTCTTATTTTACTGCTCAAGATTTATTTCTATGTACTAGTACTATTTTTGTCTCTTACATATTAAACTATATAAAATAAGACTATTCCAATTGTAATTTGAAAAAATATCCCTAATCTATTTAAAATTTACATTTCTCTTTTTTAAAAGTGCAAAATTTTGAAATCTGTGTGCTAAACAAAACTAAGTAAACATTTAAAACACATGTCCTTAAAGCAGTGTCCCTGGGAAATGTTCATTCAGCCTCATGAACATGCACTGAACTTTTTGAAAGTTTTTTTGAAACTTTTTGCTTTTTAAATTAAAGCAGTTAACAAGGCTCCAATAAACTCATTTGCCAAAGTCTGAGGGCAGGAGAAGCACCTGCCCCAGCAAGTTATGAATATTACTTTAGCCAAAACTGACATACAAGCTGAAAATTCTTGAATATAATTTGTAATTAAATACATATCAAAGTGCATTAAAAAAAACTTCAGTATACGAATATGTTTCAATTTTTTTATTTCCTTAGAATCTTCAATTGCCAGGTCATTTACCTGGATATGACAATCAGAAAACAAAATCAATTTTCAAGTTCAAAATTGGGCCGTTTTCCCAGAGTGCCACCCTGCCACCCAGTGGTTGATAGATTCCTTGACTAAATGATCATCAAAACCTGGCCCCTATAAAACTGCTGTCAAAATTTTGTTAACTTAAGCATAATATTCCCCAAACTTGACCTCCAGTCAGATTCGATTCTTTTGAGAGCACTGTATCCTCTCTCCACCTGAGAAGTGGACAGGCTGAACAAGGCAATTTCAATTAGCATTATTGTATGTATTCTAATCTTTGTCTGGTCTCCTAGCCTTGGAAACAAATCAGTACACATATCTTTACTTTTATTCACTATAAACATGCCACCTATGTGCTCTTTAAAGGCAGGCCACTCTCAATGGAAGTCTTTTGGATCAAAGCCCATCCTGTATAATACTTGAAGAAAATAATGTTCCAGAACTTGTCTGCTATGAGAAAGGTTTCTAGGGTAAACAATATCCAAGACTCTACAAAACACCATTTCTTGTTCAGTCACACCTGCATCAACAGCACTATCACACAAAATCGTATGGAAAATAATTTCCCCTGGTCTTGACCAGAACACCTCTTCCCTTATTGTCAGCTGATATGAAATTCGGGAATCTGTTAAAAATAAATATAATAAAATGATAAAATCATACATGTAGAAACAAGAAATTTATACAAAGCATATAAAAACTGAAATTAAATGAAAAATCCATAGATTAAAAAAAAAAAAAACTCACCTCATTGTCAGTCTCACACCAGTTGTTTGTCAAAGTAATTTCTTACCATACTATATAGTAATAATAATTCCTTGGTCCTACTACTAGCAATAGGCCAGTTACAAAAAATACAGAAGTATTGGCTTTTATATATATATATATAAAAACACTTAATTACCTTCTGCTTTGTCTTATTGGTATCTTTTTATCATTTCATGCCATCTATTCCATGCATTCTCATGCTATAGCTTAGGCAGGGATAGGTATGCTGTCAACATTTCACTAAAACTGAAAAAGCACAATGCATACAGTAGGTCATAAAGTGTGGCTGTGTCTTGACAGACTATTTTTTAAAAACTTGTTTAATTTGAAGACTTTTATTTTAATACCAACAATTTCAGATAAATTGAAAACAAATGTTAAAAAATCACAATATTTAATTTTAAACTTATAATGTAAAACAACTTTGGAACCTGCCCAAGAAAGACCTTTAGTACACCTGTAATGCTGATTGCGCAATGTGCTAGTTAACAGGTGTGTATAGACACACACACCCTATTTTGGAAAAGATCTAGAAACCAACTCCATAAGGAAATACAACGGATAAAGGTACGCAAGTACACATTTTATGTAAACAGCTGTAACTTTGCAACAAAATGTAACATTCACTAGTACTGAACGTCAACAAGTGCATCTGAACTATGCGAAGGGAGCTCTCCAAAATCATTTCTATACATTTCGGCGCTTATATGAAACATAGTGAATTAAAAAAAAAAAGACTCACCTTTTAGTCGGCAAACCCAAAGCTATGTAACTTGAAAGGCAGGTTTTTCCATTCTAAAAACATATAGTAAATTAATCATATACACTGTATGTTATGGCAGCATGGTTGATCTCCAGCACCGATGTCGTTTTTTTACGTATTATTTTTCATAACAACTCTCACTATGACAGTGACACATTGTATACTATAAATATACACTTGAAAAGCTGAACATTCAATTTTTTTTCAACCGAAATGCAAGATTTACCGGGAGAAACGCTCTCCAGTCACTTGCTCAGTGCAACGTGACAGTCCCAGTTTCGACTGACCTACATAGTTCGCACTAAATTAGGGATTTCACAAAAAAAGGACGGTTGTACAAATTTTTTATTCTTTTTGGCTCAATTCCATTATATATAGTTGCATAAATCGTTATAATATCGATAAAGTAAGTTTGTCCATTTTTTCTACAGTCATTTCATTTTAGGGTACAAAATTACACGATCTGCTTGAGAAAAATGCGAGTGCTATTTTTAGACAACTGATACAAGGCTTTCGTCGAAATTGAAATGTTCATTTTACATTGTGCGTTTACATCAAGTTCTAAATTTTATTTTTTGAAAGTTTCAAGCGGAATAATGAGTTAGTCACAGAGCTTCATGGATTTATATTACAACTACGGGTTTTTGAAAACATGGCGCGAAACACAAGTCGCGGACTATTTTGTGCAAGCGCGTAGGTGTTTTTGTAATGATCACCGCTTACGCATTGATATGCAAGATCTGCGGACAGACTGAACGGTGAGGTCAAGCTGTTTACGTTGTGCACACTGACCACTACTGCCACTGACACTGTGAACTTAGGCCTGATAATAAGGCTAGACTTTAAGACCAAAGTTGAGTTTTATTTTGACAGTTTGATCACATTGAATCACATTGTATCTGGTTTATAGCATTTAAGTAATTACGTAGGTATATCAGAAAATTTTTCAAACTGATCAGAAAATTATTATACTTATATCTTCTGAAAGGCAATACAAAAAACAGATGAATTCTTTTGGAATTTTTTAAAATATTCCTACAAGCAACAAAGATATTGAAGTTTTTTAACTGCAAAAATTCAACAAAAGTGTCCACACTCTTCAGCTAAAAACCTGTGACTACTGACCGGTGGTGATCACTCAGCTGTAGCTGCAGTATAAATATTGTAGTATAAATATTGCGCATCAAATAAACTATACTTCGCATTGTTACATTTTCATGATTTTTTGACATAATGTTGCAAATAATATTAAATTTACTTGGCATGAATTACAAAAACTTCCAAATTTTAAACATTTTGTCGAGGCAAAACTTTAAAACGTCCTCAAATCAAATTTCTCTAAGACTGCAACACTGGAAAATCACATGACCGGAATTTACTCTTTGATTTTACAGCTTATCTAGTAAATGGCTTGTATAAGTTTATTTACATGGAGTTAAAAGAGATATTTAAAAAAAAAGGGATGTCATAGGTGAGCTGTTAGCAGGTCAGTCTCAGTTTTGCACTTCACTGCCCCTGGATAGTTATACTGTAGCGGCCCTAGCGGATTGTGATATACCTACATTTACGAAAGAGAAAAATTAAAGAAATCAGTATAACGGTAGGGCTGTAGATCTATGTATACTATTCTGCACGTTGGTCATTATGTGAACGCTCTGTGCTATCAAGGAATTGGGTAGGAAAAATAAATAAATATATATATATATATATATATATATATATATATATATATCACTGGAGTATTTAGATTTGCTCAGCAAAAACAAAACAGCCGAAAAGGAAAATTTTATCCTGAAATATTTGGGCCCACGGTTAGAACCGTTACTTAGTTTTGTCTGGATTCGCTAGTATATATTTTCACATTGAGGAGATGGAGGGGGGGGGGGGGGGCACATATTATCTCCCAGAATAAAGGGGTTACTTACATAATTGGGCAAAATACTGAGCAGGGTTGAACAATACCCACATGTATACAACACGGCAATAGAGATATAAATTTGTTTTAACGTATGTAAGATTTCTAATGTATAAAAAAATTACAAATTTTTTGAGAACATAAAAATCTTATGATATGTGGCTTTTGCCAAGACAACTGCCGGGGCTGATGCTGCACTCACCAAACAGAAGAGCGACGCCCAACTTGGTTTTCATGATTCTGCGTCGAGTTGACAAATCGGTCAAGTCTTTGCACTTATGTTTGACAGCTTTCTTTTTATACAAAAACGGGATACCATTCTACGATATAGACACTGTCGTGTCAATGAGTGCTATCTGGCTGAATCTAAAAAACTTTTTCATTATTAGACTTGAAGTGCAATTTCATAGCTATTGACACGAGACGATTTTATGGGCCTACGTGTCGTCACACAACGTTCATTTGGATAACACCCGATCGAAAAAAAAAAAACTCAAGAAAATTCTGTAGCAAAACCGAGATTGCTAATCAATTCCCGTTATTACAAATTGAGTTTAGCATATGTATTTCAGAGAACCCAGTACATTTATTGTTTGGGCGGCAAGCTGCGCACACATTGGGTTGATTGCAATCAAATTCTTTTGGAACCAATTTAAAAGCGGTCCACCTCAGACTTGAATAAACATGACCATCAACTCTAATCAAGATAATATAGTCATCTGTTTTTTTCTTTCGCATAATGGAAAAACACCACTTATCAAACCCCGATTAGCAAATAAACAAACAAAAAATCTCTTTGTGCACAAAATCTGGTCTTTTTCCCATCTTTATCATGGAAGGAGAATGAGCCAACAATCAATTTTCTTCGAGGGGTATTGAGAAAATTAAATGCCAGCTGCACATTTTCTTGAATAACCAGAATAACTGTCTCATGCCATTTCGACAACGATCGTTCATTAGAAATCTCATCTACTGAGCTACTCAGTTATCTTACGTTCTTGATGTTTGAAAGATCCTTTCATAATAGATGAAATAATTAATTTTCTTTGTTTTTGAAGAAGGTAATTTTATTGTTGGTTCCCCGAACGGGCTTGGAATGAAACCTGGGATCTTTGGACTCCGCGGCAAATGGCAAATGCAGATTCCAAGATGTACATGTAAATAAATTTATTACATCAAAAATGTAAAATATGTACGTTCAAAGATAGTAATTTTGTAAACATTACAACAACTATTTTGTTTTCATGTTCACACATTCTTTAATTATCTAATTAAATATTGATTTCAATTCTATATTCACAAAAATATTAGAAGGGATCTTAAAAATCAATTATATACATACTGTACAAGTAACAATAAAAGGTAAACCTGAATTTTAGTTTTAGTTCACCACCTTTGCATTTGTCAAACAAAAAGCTGCATTTGTATCTGTGATATATTGCAATTACATTTGGTTTTCATGATACAACATTTTCCCTTTACATGATTGATCTACTTGAAATTGGTCAAACAAATATCAAGGATAAGGTTTCACTTGATGGTTCAAGGGATCTCTTGATTTTTGTCCCCAAATAATACAGTCTGGAATTGTCTGTATGATAGTCAAAAGCTACACAATAACCTACATCACTCATTATGAAAAACGGTGAAATAGTTGTCCATCTTCACAGGAAAACTGTTTTCTCTTCAACACTTTACACCTGTTTCCCACTTTGTCTCAGCACAGAAGCCAAGGATTGTACATAGGTCTTTCCAATGGCCATCAACTTGCTCAGTTTTTTCATGATGATGTCCATGTTTGAGAGCCTTTCATCATTGAAAATCTAAAAGAGAAAATTGTACCAAAATTGATTTCATTTACAAATGTTTGAGTGCACTCAGAGAAAGCAACTGCTTGCAACTGTAAGTAATTTACAGTAAGATTATTTATCCAGTCTTTCAGAAGAAAATGAACACTTATCTTTTAAGAATGTGAATTAAAAGAACATGTATGTTATATTATTTTTTGGATTTTTTAGAGGAACTATGATCAAAATATGATTCTTTTAAAAATACCACTTACTTAACAAAAAACAAACAAAAAATAAAATAAAATTCAGCAAGCCCTCATTCATATTCGCATTCACAAACTTTTCTCAATTGCCCAAGAAAATCCATTTTGCAAACAGACAATGAAAAAAGTCAAGCAAGGTGGTTATCTAATGACGCCATCAGGACTTTATCTTACCAAAGTGAATTAATTCAGTCATGAACTCGGCTTCAGGATTGAAAACAACTTACCTCATTTATGCTCCAGGAGACGAAATCAATGCGCTTAAAGATTGGCTTAACTGCTGTCGCTACTTGTTCATCCTGTAGATAGAGGGCGGTATGCTCTGCCAAGTGGTGAAGCTGCAATATAAAATACAGCAGTTATATTGACAACCAAAATAATACGATAGGGATAATTTTTTTCGCTACCTCCTATGTTATGATGGTAAAACGCTTAATTACTAAGTCATGTTCTAGGCGAAATTTGATCTAGGTTCATTAAGGTTCATGGTAAAAAGTCCTCTTTTGAAATGTATTTACCTCTGCATTGAAATCACCTGCTGACTCTAAAAATTTCTTCATCTGCTCAAGTTTTTTCACACGCTTCTGGAGCTGCAACACAAAAAAATAAATTAAAAAAATACATAATATAGTATAATAAAAAAATATTCAAAATGAATGATTAAATAAATAAATGAAATCAGCAACAGAACTGGTACTTTCATGTTTGTAATATCTGATTTTCAGTAAAGAAACTCAATGTTCATTTTAATATGGCAGACGAGTTAAAAATTTCCTTTCAACAGTTGCAGTTTTGTTTTCGATTGAAACTAGCTTACCTTTCTTCTGTACAGCATTGTCTTGATTTTCCTATCAATGCCTGATCCATGATATTCCCGGGCTGCTCGCCTGTGTTCCACTGAAGACCTATACAGACTTTCCTTACTGAGGTTGTTGACAAACTGAACGTGAGACCCAATGTACCTCAGAATAATTGCCTAAAAAAGCAATTAAAGTTTTTAATTTATTTCCTTTAAAGGGTAAATAAATTAAATTATAAACATCATTTCAGAGCTTGTTGCAGCAGTTCATTCATTTATTTATTTTTATTGTACATTTTTACCAATCTCTTTCTCTCTATCTCTCCATTTTATACATTTGTCCCTCTTACCCAGACCACTTTAAATGTACTTCATGAAAGCATTTGCCACAAAAAGGCATCAAACACTGAAAAAGACCACTTTCATCTTTTTTTCACTTACTTCATTTGTGGCAGCGGTATTGCCTTGATTACAGATGCATGTTTTAGCCAGACATCCCCAGCAGAAGTCTTTCCCACAGCGACAAATCATATGAGGACATCCTCCGTTCTTCTCTATAGGAAGTCTACAGTGAGGGCAACGTCTCACAAAGACCACAGCATCTTTAGATCCAGAATCTGAATCATCTTCTGAAAACAATGTGTATCCAGTTAAAATGCTGTATATTTAAAGATACTTAAAATCAAGTCAATGTAAAAGGACATTTTATTTGCTTTTTTTAAATATTCAATTCCTTTAGTCTCTAAAGAGAAAAAAAATATGCATATTAAATGCTGATATTAAATGACATTGAGCAAAAATTGATTGATTTCAGCATCCAAAACAATTTAAAGATGAAAAGAACTGAAAGTTCTGAAAAACATGCCAGAAAATATTTTTTTAGTTTATGGAATTACTTAATAATAAAAAAGAAATTGTTTCAAAAGGGACAACATGTTTTTGAACTTCAAGGTACAATTGACTTTTTTATCAGTACATAAGAAACAATGAAAAACCTATTTCATCAAACTTACTTCTTACTGTCAGCTTGCGTTGGTAATCGTCTGCTAGGTCACACCTAGCTGGCCAATGAGACGCTTTCAAACACTTGAAACAGACAGCAGTGCCACACTTACAGGACACAGACACGGATTCCTCGGCTGCGTGACCTGGTAACAGAAAACAACTGAATTTTACCACACCTTTACATGCTGATTTATCTCTTCTTATACTGGTGGTAATTATTTTTGTATTTCGGATTGCTGCAGTTTTCATTTTTCATATTTTAATCTAAATAACTCTTTATCATTATCTTTATTAACACAATAAAATCTTTATTGCTGGGTTTACTTCATGCTATAAGCTTCAACAGTTGTAAAATCAGAAATTTCATGTTGGATGCTGCCTAAGTCACCTTTAGCCATGATCATTCTGCCACACTTGTGGTTAGGGCACCACTTGAGGTTCTCCTCCATGCTCAAAGCCAGCTCGTGTTTCTGCATCAGGTGACGTCTGACTGTCCTGACATCCACCAAAGACACCAGTGTCGCCGTGTCAAGTCTGGAGGAGCACTGGTATTCCTGGAGAGTTAAGGTGCATATAATTCAGGCCTTAAAGTGATAAAACCCCTCAAATGTAAATACTTGGGTGTTATTTTCATAATGTGTTATTAACACAAGTTACATACATTCCAGCGCGCCAGAGATAGAAAACTCAAACTCCTTCTCCCCTCGACACCCTAACGGGTATAAGAAGGATGACAAAAGAAGATATAAAGGGTAACACATACCCATGTTTGGGGACTTTTAAGACATTTAAGTTTGACATTATTTTTGATAGTTTTATAAATATAAATACACACATTATTATCACAAGTCATATAAATGGTAACACACAAATCCACTTACTGGACAATACAGGATCATATCTCCCTGCTGCACCTTGCTCTCAATGTGCTGTTGCCAACAGTTACGACAGAACCAATGATAACAAGGGCTGATGGCCACGCCCATGGCATACCCCTGGGACGTCCACTCAAAGCAGATATTACAGTACTCTTCACTTTGCCTGTAGACAACATAGGTGTCTTCCTCACAGGTTTCATCCATCTATGGAATAGAAACATACTGTACATTCTGTTTGGTGGTTAATGATATCAATTTTAATCGAAATTTAATTAAATTCAGTGCAAATATATGAATATGCATGCCTTTGATGTTTACTCATTTTTTTAAAATAGTGTTTCAGTATAAAAATTATTAATATCATCATCATATAATTTCTTCTATCAACATATTGTTAAAAAGAAAAAGAAGCATTCTAAACAATCAGATATTATTATTATTATTATTATTATTATTATTATTAATACTTCTGATTATCCAGATACATCTTAATAATATATCAAGTTATCCAAATATAATTTTATACATAACTCCACTACCAATATCCCATAAATAAACGGAGGCATACCTCAGTGTTAGCCTCAGAATCTCCAATCAGAGTGCTATATAATTCTGCTGGAAGCCCTGAAGCAGTTTCCCATTTGCAAGCTGAACTCAGAGTGTCAAACACGAGAGATGCTTTACTCACTGTCATCGGTGGAGCAGAGGTTGTGTAAAAACTGAAAATTAAACAGTATCCAATATTATGAGATTCTCAATGTTCTTGTGTTCCATTTCAATAAATTAAAAGATACCTTTAAGAACAACCACCCATCAGCACTTTTATACATCAAAAACTTTGTAATTTGCAGAAAAAATAACTTTTGGAGTGAGATTTTAAAAGTTTACAAGCTTCATTGACCAACAAGTCTACAACAGGACAACCGACATTTAAGAGTCATAGACACTCTATTTCTGATTTAAAATATCTGTACCACCCTTACCATTCAAAAGGCAGCATGCAGATATAAACAGCAGTTGCTGACACCAGGGCATCCACTGAGGCATAGACACCCATGTCATTCAGAGTTTCAATCCTCACCGTCTCCATCTTGAAGTTGCCTTTCAAACTTACCCTAAAAAAACAAAATCTTGCAACATGAACAAAATAACTGGATTTGGTTTAACATTTATAAAAAATCAAAAATCTGACAAATTTCAAAATGCCTAAACCTACACTTCATATCATATTATTTCACATTATGAAAATAGTAAAAAAAAAAAAAAAACTTCATACTCATTTATCATAACATGTTCACTTACTTCACAGTAGCCTGTGTCCCTGCTCCACCCTCAGGTAAAACCTGCACTACCAGATAACTGTGGAGGTCCAAACGAGACACTTGACTGCGTAAAATGGTGTCCTTCCTGACCTGTTCCAACACAAACTTGGAAATGTCAATGGTGAATGTCCTTGGAATACAATTGCCTTCTTTATAGTAGTCGCCGTATGTAGATTGTAGAACTTCAGGAGCAATGGCGTCGTTGGTCGTGTCAATTATGACGGGGATGGAGACACAGGGATGACGTTTAGATGACTGCTTTGTCAATTTGGCTGATGGCTTTTCCCCCTTTTTCTCCTTATTTATATCTTTTTCGATAATTTCCTCCTTTGGTCTAAATTCATAGTATTCATCAGCTGGGAAGAACACTTTATTGTCTTTGGAGGTGTCTTGAGAGACAGGAAGAGAGGGTGTAGATATTTCTTGAGCCTCTCCTTGAAACAATCCACTGTTGTAGCTCCCTTTCGCCTCCACAGCTCTGTCAACTAAGTCGCTGAGGACAGTGTTAGATCTTTCTACACTGTCCCAGTCCAAAGTGAAGTGGTGCTCATCTTCCCTAGTGGTGTCCTCAAGTTCCACTTCATCTTCACTGCTGTAAAAGTTGTCAAACTGCTCCTCATATTCAGTAACCTGACTGCTCCATCTCAGCTTCCCTCTTTGCTTTGTTGCTCCTTTCTTTGAGATTTTTGAACTGCCATTGTTGTTGTGTTCTGCATCTGAAGATAATACAGAATACAGCTTACTTAAAATGAGGATATTAAGAAGTAATGATGATTAAAATTAACTTTGCAAGTGTGAACAAACTTGTTAATATTATTTTTTAAAAGTATTTGTATGCTTTTTTAAATTAATATAACACAAAGTCTTGCCTTCAGTAAAATCATTATTTTTGTAAACATATTTTAACTTCTCAACCCAAAATGTGCTTACTTGAAAAAAAACTAAATGGGCAAAATAATAAAAAATTAAGAATACCCATGAATCGTAAAGCCTTACCCTCATAACTGGATACATCTTGATCTCTAATATACTTCTTATTATGTGTGATTGAGCTGGTCTTAGGACAAGGGTAGTATATTTCGTAGCTGACAGCATGCTGCACAGTGTCCACAACTTCCTCTCCAGTACTCTCTTCGTCATAATCTACTCCATACTTTTTCCTCATTTTTGCCAGCCGCTTTTCCCTTTTCTTCTGGCTTCTTTTACCATTACCAGACTTAACAAGCACGCTGGCTGCATTGAAGTATGCGTGTCCCTGTGGTTTGATCTCAATACAGCTCCCATTTCTTCCCGAGCTGCAATAACTAATACAGTCAGCGTGTTGTTTGATTTTGTGGTGCTCAAACAAAGAAACCTTGCAGTCTTCATTTTTCCATTCACCCTCATGTATACTTTGCTTTAAGAGCTTTGGGAGTTTCCATCGGCCCTTCTTGTTGAGGGAGTAGGTAACGCCACCTGACTGAAGACCCCCATCTTCGATATCATCTCCAACGCCCTTGGCAGAGGAGTGTTTTAACAGGGATGCTTCGGCGGCGTAGCAGCGTTGGTAGTGAGAGTTTGAGGCTCTCAGGGTGTTGCCCGAGTGGACGTTACGTTTCCAGCCTTTCCAAACCATATTTGAAGCTTTGTCTTTGTTATCTGAATAGAACCGCAAGACAATGATAACAATATTTACATTCTAACTTCTAAGTACCTGTAGATCTAGATATGCAAGGATGTTAATAAATTTCAATAATAATTAGAGTAAATGTCACATGCAAAATACATTTCCCAACAGCAAAACTAGCAATAGGCAGCATAATCAATATATATATTTAAACTTCACATCACTTTAATTAACATTTTAGCTTGCTCTAATTCAGCATTTCAAATCATGCATTTCAAATGCAAAGAACGAGGGGTTTCTTTTGTATATACTTCCGCATAATTTATGATTTAGTAAAATATATTTCTACCTTAAAATTATATGTCATGCCAACAACAGTACCTGTATAAATATTCTCCCCTTTTCTTCGTTTCTTCTCCTTGTTTTCTGTTTTGGAATACTGACAGATGTATATCCTAACTTCATATTAATACCGTTCGATGATCCAACTTTCTACTGCTTGTGCAAGACCTACGTTCTATTTTTAACTTGTTTTATTGGGGCAATAAAGCAGCGTTAAGTGTAATAGTTGCATTAGTTTTGTAAAAAAATGTTTTCCAATAAAACAAATAAAACCACAAATCAAATAAATTTTTACATGAAATAATAACTTTTATTGATATTTTATAATATAAAAGTATTTATAAAAATATACACCTTGATATGATTTCTTGCAGTATGTAAAACTTTTTTTAATAAAAAGGGACTAGCTTTACATAAAATTGAAGCTGTCACCTGAGGGAAAGGGACATTCCTAATTTCTTTTTTACTTTAAGGCAACAATATACAACGACATGATTTAAAAAAGAAAACAGACTTAGAACACTAGGTAAATATGTTGTTAATTCATTCTGTATTGCTATTTTTGTACGTGGAAACTGTTACCCGTCTTTTACAACGGTGAGGTCAAGCTGTTTACGTTGTGCACACTGACCACTACTGCCACTGACACTGTGTAACTTAGCCGGCTTTGCCATATAAATTATGATCATATCTGTAATGTTTGCTGCTGGGCATGGAACTTAAGCCTGATAATAAGGCTAGACTTTAAGACCAAAGTTGAGTTTTATTTTGACAGTTTGATCATATTGAATCCAGTATAACATTTACGAAAGTGAAAAAATAAATAAATAAAAATAAATAAATAAAATAAAGAAGGTGAATGCATTAAAAACCAATAGCCAACACTGAAAGTCAGCCAATATGGTTTTATTTTGAACTTGAAGGGGGCCAGTTTTGGAATGTAAAACTTGAACTAGTTTTCGGCAAATTTTATACATAACTGGCCACAACAATGCTCTGTGTAAATTATAATTGTTGGTTTTGTGTGAAAGGAATATGGTGTCCACAATTAATTGTAGTCCATTTCTCATTAGTTGTACGTGTGCCATTCATTCCATATACTGACTCAATATGTACAGCTAGATCCTGTATTGATCATTTGGGGCCTTAGAGGTTGATTTACTTCTTGGACTACCATTTTTTCACACCAGTAATAGATTTATGTTTGAATGGAATGGTGACTATAAATATATCCTGAGAATGCCAGGCCTGATTTATTAATACTGCCATCCTTTGGTGGTTCTTATGATCCCATATGATTCTATAAGCAGTATATCATTCTTTACATTCTTTATTATCTCACATCAAGAATATATGACTACAGTGTATATGTTGGGTGAACACTTTTGATCATATGTATAACTGTGACCATAGGTTTATGGCTAGCAATAGCAAAGGGAGTTTGGCATACTCTTCTAAACAAAGTGGATTTTTTTTTACTGCAAAACTTATTTCTTAATTTGAAATGGCAAAGGATCTTGATCAGATTTTGTTTCAGATAAGACATATCTCGGTCAAAGGGTGGTTTGTTTGCTCCCCCCCCCCCTTTTCTCTACCCCACCTTGCTACTGCTGCCTCAGGTCTCTGTCTGCACATGCTATGTCATCTATGTACCAAGGAACCTCTATTTAAGTCCAGTAGGCTTTCAAGGAGTGTGAACTGGTGGCAGCTTACTAGTGCTAGTAATGACACAGGAGGACAGTTTTTTATAATTGGGATTACTCAAAAGATAAAAAATGACAGAAAGTTAGTAATTTGGATTATTTACCAGGATACTAGCATAATAACTTTAGTTCAGAGTACATGAGAGNTACATCGAAGTATGTGTGTCCCTGTGGTTTGATCTCGATACAGCTCCCATTTCTTCCGGAGCTGCAATAACTAATACAGTCAGCGTGTTGTTTGATTTTGTGGTGCTCAAACAAAGAAACCTTGCAGTCTTCATTTTTCCATTCACCCTCATGTATACTTTGCTTTAAGAGCTTTGGGAGTTTCCATCGGCCCTTCTTGTTGAGGGAGTAGGTAACGCCACCTGACTGAAGACCCCCATCTTCGATATCATCTCCAACGCCCTTGGCAGAGGAGTGTTTTAACAGGGATGCTTCGGCGGCGTAGCAGCGTTGGTAGTGAGAGTTTGAGGCTCTCAGGGTGTTGCCCGAGTGGACGTTACGTTTCCAGCCTTTCCAAACCATATTTGAGGCTTTGTCTTTGTTATCTGAATAGAACCGCAAGACAATGATAAGAATATTTACATTCTAAGTACCTGTAGATCTAGATATGCAAGGATGTTTATAAATTCCAATAATAATTAGAGTAAATGTCACATGCAAAATACATTTCCCAACAGCAAAACTAGCAATAGGCAGCATAATCAATATATATATTTAAACTTCACATCACTTTAATTAACATTTTAGCTTGCTCTAATTCAGCATGTCAAATCATGCATTTCAAATGCAAAGGTTTCTTTAGTATATACTTCCGCATAATTTATGATTTAGTAAAATATATTTCTACCTTAAAATTATATGTCATGCCAACAACAGTACCTGTATAAATATTCTCCCCTTTTCTTCGTTTTTTCTCCTTGTTTTCTGTTTTGGAATACTGACAGATGTATATCTTAACTTCATATTTATACCGTTCGATGATCCAACTTTCTACTGCTTGTGCAAGACCTACGTTCTATTTTTAACTTGTTTAATTGGGGCAATAAAGCAGCGTTAAGTGTAATAGTTGCATTAGTTTTATAAAAAAATGTTTTCCAATAAAACAAATAAAACCACAAATCAAATAAATTTTTACATGAAATAATAACTTTTATTGATATTTTATAATATGAAAGTATCTATAAAAAATATGCACCTTGATATAATTTCTTGAAGTATGTGAAACTTTTTTTAGTAAAAAGGGACTAGCTTTGCATAAAATTGAAGCTGTCACCTGAGGGAAAGGGACATTCCTAATTTCATTTCTACTATAGGGCAACAATATACAACGACATGATTTAAAAAAGAAAACAGACTTAGAACACTAGGTAAATATGTTGTTAATTCATCCTGTATTGCTTTTTTTGTACGTGGAAACTGTTACCCGTCTTTTACAAGGGTGAGGTCAAGCTGTTTACGTTGTGCACACTGACCACTACTGCCACTGACACTGTGTAACTTAGCCGGCTTTGCCATATAAATTATGATCATATCTGTAATGTTTGCTGCTGGGCATGGAACTTAAGCCTGATAATAAGGCTAGACTTTAAGACCAAAGTTGAGTTTTATTTTGACAGTTTGATCATATTGAATCCAGTATAACATTTACGAAAGTGAAAAAATAAATAAATAAAATAAAGAAGGTGAATGCATTAAAAGCCAATAGCCAACACTGAAAGTCAGCCAATATGGTTTTATTTTGAACTTGAAGGGGGCCAGTTTTGGAATGTAAAACTTGAACTAGTTTTCGGCAAATTTTATACATAACTGGCCACAATAATGCTCTGTGTAAATTATAATTGTTGGTTTTGTGTGAAAGGAATATGGTGTCCACAATTAATTGTAGTCCATTTCTCATTAGTTGTACATGTGCCATTCATTCCATATACTGACTCGATATGTACAGCTAGCTCCTGTATTGATCATTTGGGGCCTTTGAGGTTGATTTACTTCTTGGACTACCATTTCTTTCACACCAGTAATAGATTTATGTTTGAATGGAATGGTGACTATAAATATATCCTGAGAATGCCAGGCCTGATTTATTAATACTGCCATCCTTTGGTGGTTCTTATGATCCCATATGATTCTATAAGCAGTATATCATTCTTTACATTCTTTATTATCTCACATCAAGAATATATGACTACAGTGTATATGTTGGGTGAACACTTTTGATCATATGTATAACTGTGACCAGAGGTTTATGGCTAGCAATAGCAAAGGGAGTTTGGCATACTCTTCTAAACAAAGTGGACTTTTTTTTTTACTGCAAAACTTATTTCTTAATTTGAAATGGCAAAGGATCTTGATCAGATTTTGTTTCAGATAAGACATATCTCGGTCAAAGGGTGGTTTGTTTGCTTCCCCCCCCCCCCTTTTCTCTACCCCGCCTTGCTACTACTGCCTCAGGTCTCTGTCTGCACATGCTATGTCATCTATGTACCAAGGAACCTCTATTTAAGTCCAGTAGGATTTCAAGGAGTGTGAACTGGTGGCAGCTTACTAGTGCTAGTAATGACACAGGAGGACAGTTTTTTTATAATTGGGATTACTCAAATGATAAAAAATGACAGAAAGTTAGTAATTTGGATTATTTACCAGGATACTAGCATAATAACTTCAGTTCAGAGTACATGAGGGNTCTATGTACCAAGGAACCTCTATTTAAGTCCAGTAGGCTTTCAAGGAGTGTGAACTGGTGGCAGCTTACTAGTGCTAGTAATGACACAGGAGGACAGTTTTTTATAATTGGGATTACTCAAAAGATAAAAAATGACAGAAAGTTAGTAATTTGGATTATTTACCAGGATACTAGCATAATAACTTTAGTTCAGAGTACATGAGAGATTTTTTTTTAATGTGAAACATATTCATGCAGCTTTCTTTGTTATTATGGATTTTAAAGAATTTCAAAGGGATTTGAGTTTTATTTAGAAGGACCTAATTTTGATTTCAGTTAGATTATAAGATTATTTTTAGGTTCAGGATTTTGATGAATTGAAATTTTTGACCACAATCTTTGTGCTAAATTCATTTCAGTGTGTCAACTGAACAGAGTTTACCTCTAGAAATTAACTGGTTAAAATGTAGTTGACAATTTGTTTGCAGGTGGTGTCTGTAGTTTATGGCATGACATAAAATAGTCCTCGATATCCCTGATAAAAAACCCTGTTTGTCTGGTGTTTCAGGTTCTGTAGACCACAATAGTAAGACTATGGCAGGAAGATATGATGATATTGGAGCAGACAAACCCCTCTTTGGAGAGACCAGACCAAGGGTAAATATTTAAATGTATATTTTTATTGAGCTTATATTTAATATATACCTTAGAAATTAATATCTGCCAGGAGCTTTTAAAATGAATGTTTTAATCAAAAGTATGTTTCAGGTCTATATAAGTGTAAGCATGAATGTAGCATGCAAAATTTTATTCTATTTTATATTCTATTTTATTATATTTTATTCTTATTTTCAGGACCGGGTTTTCAACCTCGTGCTTGGACTCGTAACACTAATACTTGTACTGGTAAGTGTCATTTATCACCAGAGAAAGGTTCTGTATATTTTGTGCATAGGGCAGTTTGTACAATTATATATCAGTAAAAGATAAAATCTATTGCAGTCTAGTAAGTTCTAGTAAGTGTTATTCTGAAACATAAAGCATGGCTCCTATCTTATATCATAGGTGCAATATTTCATTTCTTCATACTCATCTGCTAGTTTATCTTATGTAGGAGGGGAAATAAATTTTAGAATTAAAGTTTAGATCAGTTCCTCAGTTACTGCTCTTATATAAAACATCCCCCCTGGTAATGGAGTTAGAGAGTCACATATCTACTGGATTAAATTTCAAATGTTAAATACATAATATTCTGTCTCTTTTAAAAATCCCAAACAGATAAGACTTCTTTGAACTTTGTTTCAGGTTACACTAATCAGTGCATTTGTTTTCCCACAATGGCCTCCAGATCCTGTGAATATTTATTTTGCCAGCTGTATATTATTAGTTTGTGGAGCTAACTCGGTGCTGGTAAGTATCTATTTCAAAATGATGATACGAGGCCTTTTCAACCAATCATTAGATCTTAAGGGCCATTCAGAATGGATGTTGGGTGACCATTGGGAATCAGCGGGTCAGCCATATTTAGTCAGAGGATCAGTTAGTACTCGGATCATCTATTCTGAATGGCCCTGTCTTTGGCAATTAAGACTGGCAATTAAGTTCTCAATCTCTCAAAACAAAACAGTGCAGCTGTATTGTTAGTTCATAACATCAAATCTGAAATGTGAAAAAGCCTTCATTTTAATTTCACAATATTTCATATAGTATGCTCAGTATGCTGCTAGATTTGGAATTCCCTCCTGATGTACATTCAACCACATAAAGTTTGAAGTTCTTATTGGGTATAATTATTGAAGTCAAGAAGATACAGTAAAAATTTAATGATAATTGCCAATAAAACAGTGCCAGTCCATTAAATTTAAATCAGCCTGTACTTGTTCTGCCAATTCAGACATTGAAGTGGTATTGACAAAATTTGCATCAGAGATACTAGAAATTTGCATCATATTTCATCTTTGAAATTGATATTTTAAATTCACCATTCACCATGACTTGTTTGAAATTGCCAAAGATATCGAGTTCTTCATTTTGATTTTTCAGATATTCTGGTACAGACAAGGGGATTTGGAGCCCAAATTCAGGACACTTATTTATTTCAACGTATTCTGTATCATATTACTGGCAGTCTGCTGTAACTTGTATATTCATTTAAAGACCAAATAACTTGTCTGTATATAGTGTGTATCACATACAATGATTAGGGGCATTGTTTGTAAATCTGTGAATATTGTGTCTATGTAAATATGTATCAGAATGGTTTCTGAGATTGTTGTTCTCAGGATGTGTATGAAGATCTTTTGTTTATCATGTTCTCATCTCTATTAAGAACAGATCCTCAGATTTTCACAATTTTTCGTGGTTTGTTTTACATCTCATTGTATTAAGGCAATTACATAAACGACGTATGTATGTATGTATACAGAGTAATAATTGGCTGTCTGCCAATAAGTTCACATGACCCAGTTACTGTAAAGGCCAACCTAATTTACTTTTTAATTCTGCCAAAAGATAAATGTTAAGACTGTTTTAATATAAACTTGATTAGGGATAAAAAATATATATGGCACAGAGATTTTTTTATACATTCCAACTGACGAATGTTAATGGCAATGGTTAGGGAAAGGATTATGAAGATGTGCCCTTTTGCATTAAAAATGCCTAATTTCCTGTAATGTTTCACACTCAAATTCTGACCTTAAAAGTATAAAAATATATTTAAGTACATATTAAGTCCTTCAAACAAAAACACTGTTTATGAAATGTAACGAACAGGTACCTAATGTTTTTTCACTTTGGAATATCTTATTTATGTTGTTGGTGTTTTGTTTTTTAACTTCTAGTACGCAATTTAAGTTTTTTATTGTTGAAATTTTTTTTGTTATTAATGTATGGTTATTTTGAAAAATGTTAGGGATAGATTTATTCAGAGGTAAAAGTACATCTTTTGTGGTTGGTCAGATAAAAACACGAGTTTTTTTCACGAGTGTTTAATTTCATTTTCAAACATTGAATAGGAAATGTTTGTTTAGATTGCTAAATGCATAACAGGCAGCTTTAATGAAGAGTGAAAAAACAAATAGGTAAGGTCATTAGGTACTCTCAGAAAGTACTTTTGAGCTTTGACATAAATGATAAAAAATTTGAAGATGCAATTTTAATGCACTTTTATGGCTGATTGAGTGATTAATTCAGTTTATTCCTTGGCATGTGAATGTTATTTCAGAACTAGTAGAAGTGGTTTATGTGCCTTAGGGACTATTCCCAGACCCTGTCGTACTAACTGTGGATCGATCTATCTCCAAGGGGATTCTCACTAAATTGCAATTAACTCAAGCAGCTTAAATGTCTGTCACGCCCACTGAAGCTGTTAGGGGATGATTATCATTTAGCAGCTTTAGCAGGCATGCCAGCCATCTAAGCCGCTTAAGCTGAGAGCAATTTAGCAAGAAAACCCCTCAGAGATGGATCGATCCAGTTAGATCGATCTAGGCATGGGAACCCAGTCTTAGTAAATCGTAGCTAGATTATCAAGTTTTCTATCTCTCACAGGGTGTGCTTCAACCCTAGGCTGCTTGATGTGAGAAGGACCTAGTACTGTTATATTGGTGCTAAAACTGATGTACAGGGTTACATTTTACAAGTTATTATTATGTCATCTAAATAAGTTCGTAACCCTGTTTTGAATGTCGTTTTACTTTTGTAAGGTTGATTCAACAACTTTGATTTACACTATGCTTTTATATTGGCGTGCAACTGAGCATGTTCAATTCATAGTTTATTTGTAAGTGTAGTTTCTTCTTGTGTTCTCCAGCTTTTATAGTCAACATAGCAGAACACATCAACATTCAACAGTTTTGTGTAGTCACTTTATTTATTTAGTTATTACTTGGGGGTGGGGCAGTGTCTATCATGAAAGATCAAAAATAGAAGGCTCTATGTAGCATATAATGAACAGCATGGAAATACAATTTCCAAATGTTCAGTAGAAAAAAAAAATTGTGAACATTTTTTTCCAGATTTTGAGATATGATGTATATTTCATTGTCCTAGACACTTGTATAAAATGGTGATAAAATAAAATAAAAACAAACTAGTCCAGTACATTCTGGTTTATTTCACACACCTAATTTGTTGACTAGAATGTTCTTTGGTTGTAAAACAGTTTTCAATTTCAGTCAAATTCAAATAAATATAAAAATTTTAAGAATTCCAAAATTTTGTATTTAAAGGCACAATGTAAAGCATGAAATCCAAGGTCACATACATAATCCCACAGTCACATAGAAACCTTTACAAAGATATTTCCCTTGCCCAAAGTAGATTAAGTGCAACAAAAGCCAAAGTCAATGATCTGAAGAAGAAAAGGGCTAAGCTAAACTCAAACCCACACCTACTACACCAAATGGCTATTACTGAAGTATTTTCTTCATATTTGTTCCATACATCCTTTTACAAACATCTATCAGTATAATACAGCAAGTTTTGTACATTGGACTGCTTAGATGACTGAAACCTGCGATTCTATGAAATTATGAAATGAGTAAATTGCTTTCTTACATGATGACCCCCCTCAAAATGGAAAAAAAAAGATATATGACCCAACCATCCCCTGAAAAATAGTCAAGCAATGTGCATTGCTGTTACATTAACAGATGTTCACATATTTGGTTACAAAAAAATGCACGTCAATGCCTGATAGCTGGACCTACATGCATCAAGTATAATACCAGACCTATGATAGCATTAAAAGAACAATATGTTTATATGCCAATAAATAGACTGAATAATTAGGTCAATAGGACCTTGACATTTTCATACATAGACAATTGAATTTACAGTTATGAAGAGCAACAGTGTATGTTATATTGAGTCAATGTAACATTGTGGTAGTTGAGATGCAATCATACTGATTGTGTACTGATAGTTAGCCCCCAGCTTGCCTTGTTCAAGTTTGGAAAATAGATGCCATATGAACATCAATAGTTTTAACAATTTCCATAACACTTCCATAAAACAAGTGCCACAAGTCAGGACTGATGTCATTAATAACTCTCACCTACAGGTGCATTGTGTTTTCTTACACATATAACAAATATGTCCAGGCACTATGTTCAATGATCAAACAATTGCAATACATTACACTTCAAGCTTTTCTATCCATTTTGTACTATTTCTATGGTTTGTTGGTGTCATGAGTCTGAAGGATCATCCACTGCTGATTGGCTCTTGTCAACTTCTCCATCAGAGGCTGACCCAATCAAATCTGAGCTCTCAGAAGGCAGCATGGGGTCTGAAGGGGGAAAGTATAAAGAACTGATTATCTCTATAGTGGAGATAGTGTATTAAATTGAAGATACTTCAGCATCTTGTCCTCAAAGATATATATTTAAATTGGTTTTTCAGTTCTGCCATAACAGTTGCATTATTACTAAAAAAAAATAAAATGGCTTTTAGAAAGAAAGAAAAAATACATACTCGTTGTAAAAAAATATGAATAATCTTCTTAAAGAAATCTAGGTTTAACAACAGCTAGGAAAATAATATACAAAGGAGTTCTATAGGAGCTGGTGCAAGAAACAACAACTATGAATATTGAATCTTCCAACAGGATTACAAAGAAAAATGATTCACGAAAAAAACTGTGATAAAAAGACAACAACAACAACAACAACAACAACAACAAAAACCTCTACATACCAGACAAGGAGGTCATCATGAGTTCCCCATCATTACTGTTGGACTGGACAAAGGACCCCGCAGCCGAAGACATCACCAGGTGTGTGGTAACTCCTGTGCCATCGTGGCCACCACTGTCCAAGCTGGAGGCATCACTGGTCACCATGACCAGACCCCCGGGCACTGCCACACTGTCCCCTATTTCTGTTTGGTCAACTTCGGAGTTTATTACCTACAGAATATACAATGTTGGTTTTAAGGAAATGTACAGTACTTATGGGCATCAGCTTGTCGACCGCTGAACAACTTTGTGTTGATCACATGTAGAAACAAACCAGTTCAAGCTGACGTATGTACAGGCAACCAACATCAGTTAAAATATAAAAACTGACAAAGTAATACAGCAATATGTTAGTGCATTTCATATTAAGAAGTTGGTCAAATATGATCTCCTATTCAAGTTATAGATACAAACTATGACACTACTGTTTCTGTACAAAATACTTGTTGAAAATTCAATTATAGCTTCACTGAACATGATCTATTTAACCTAAAGACAACTGTTAACACTTTTTTTTTCTTTTGTTAGTTGGTTACAAGATATAAAACATTTTATGACAATTTGCTGTACCACACTGCAATTATATATCTGATTCTAACTACTCATCTTTTACTGGGTCAGATTTCATCCAAATGCCATTCAATAATAATAATAATAATAATGATATCAATTTATAATTGCATGGTATAAAACTTTGGTTCTGCTGGAGCAAGTTACTTAGACAGTGGGAGTTTTTTAAGGTTTATGCATACATTTTTGCCTTAAAGATGCATACAAAGTCAATTTTTTGTCACAAAAACCAACCAAATGCCAGCATATAGTTTCAAGTAGTATAACTAAGAGAATTACCAAAAGGCATTGTTTAATTTTACCCGAAAATGATGTTTGAACAGATTTTTCTGCTGGCATTCTAAGCTGTATGTCAATGGGGCAGGAAAGTAGGTCACAGAAGTAGGTTAAATTTACAACCATAAATTTAAAGAAAGGAGCAGTCGAAAGGTCTTTTATGGCTGATCGAGTGATCTATTCAGTTTATCCCTTGGCATGTCGAATTTATTTGAGTCATATAAGAATCTAGTAGAAGTGGTTTACATGTGTTACTCAGAATCCAAACTCCACCGATGCTCGGTTCGTATGTACCTTTAAAAAAAGTCTGGACATCATGAATTCATTAGTTGCTGATGTACTAATATCAATGTCCAATGTTTATCACATTATCAGTACAAATTTCATAAGCTTTATATTCAATTACTTTACCATCTTTAATTAAATTCTTAACTCTCACAGAATGTGGGATATTTAATAATGATAAGATGACAAGACTGTCAACACAAGAATCATAGCCCTTAAAACCAAAACTATTTGGTTCTAACACATCTATGCCTAACTACCACAAACAACTCTGTGTCTATTTATAGAGGCATATAATTAATTTAAAAGATAAAAAAACAGCTAGAAACTTATCATAAACTTAAGTAATCAACAGCAACGCTATGCAAAGTTATTAGAAAATTTGCCTAATGGACAACCTTATTTCAACCCAGACAGTAGATGACATTAAAATTAGTGCAAAAAAAAAACAACAAAAAACCAATAATAATTAATCATAACGCAGTTCAAGAGGTTAAATCTACACATCTAAACTTTATCATTCAACATATAAACCCCTATTCTCCAAAACAGTCACAGTGAGTGAGGTTTAAACAGTGGCATTCAGTCGTCTAGCACTAGCACAGATAAAATGGCCAAAATCATTTTACTGGCTACTCTCCTGATCGCCGTCTGCCACACTGGTCAGACACAGATTGTTTCGAGTAGTGGACAATGGTCCAAAGATGGTACCCAGCTTCTCTCTCAAATCCAGAGCCATCTTCTACAGCTCCAGACTATTGTATCTGATCATGGTCACCTGTTTATGGACATTCAGAAGAAAATAAACAACCTCTCCGAAACTGACAAGCATCTGAGTCGAAATCTGACCGACCAGGAGCAGGCAATGCTCAAAGATATACAGCATTTACAACGTCAAATGGTCAGTTCCCATGCCAAGATGACCAATGTGACTATCACATTGAAAGACTTGAGCTCAGCAGTGTCAAGGATGCAGAAATACACGGACCAGCAAAACATGTTCAACCTGCTGTTAACAGACAGGATAAATCTTCTCACAAAATTGGGTAAGTAGGATATTTTTGTGAAGCCATTGTTTTTCACTGGTGCAACCATTAAGTGGCTGGAATTAAAACAAGAGAATTTCTGATGCAAGCACAACTTGGCCATGAACACCCAGCAAACAGGAGGCTGAAAATGTTTCAAATTGTATCTTTAAGTTAGCAAACTCCACTGCCAGTATTTGATCCTAAACTATAGGATTAAATTTTGTGATTATGTTCTAGAAAAAGTTTCCATCTTTTACAGCATTATACAGCCAGTACCAGACCTCTTACTATTACTACGTCAGTTCTACACTGTCCTGGGATGACGCAGCAAATTACTGTAAAAAGATTCACCCACAAGGTCATCTAGCTACAATCCAGTCCCAGGGAGAAAATGACTTTATTGCCAAACTGCTCCCTTATGGTAAATTAAATAACAGAGCCCAGATCATTATTATATCTCACTGATAATAGTTCTCAACTTTAAACATTCTGAGTATATTTTAAATATCACAATAAATAAATAAATAAATAAATAAATAAATAAATAAATAAATAAATAAATAAATAAATAAATAAATAAAATACCAGGATTGTAAAGTATGATTTTCACAAGTATGTACTTCAGTGAATTAACTAACCACCTATAAAACGTTCAAATTACACACTCAACTATCAACTGCATTAAAAAACATAAAGTTAACCTTTTCATACAATCTCTGGTGCCAGTTATCAGAATGTTTTTCATTTTCCTTTTGGTTTTTTCAAGGTGCTACATCTTTCCTTGGTGGACATGACAGAGTGCAAGAAAACAAGTGGCAGTGGGAAAACGGAGAAACATTCAATTACACAAACTGGAGTCCTGGAGAACCCAACAATGGTGCTTCAAGAGAACACTGCATTATAATGTATCAAAACAATAAACAATGGAATGATGCTTACTGTACACCAGGCAACTCTTTTGTGTGTGAAATCGATTCCTAGGATCAGGGAAGAAAATACTTTTAGTCTTTATCCAACACTTAGATTTGATTTTAATTTAATCTACTTAGGCTAAAAGAAATGAAACACACTTTGATTGTTTTGCTTATTTACCACCTTTTTGTTTTAAAAACTGGAGAAACACTGGTCAAATAATGCTAGTGTGACACTAAGATTATGCTTCATAAATTAAACTTTTTCATTTTTCTGTGTGAATAATTTTGCAAGGTTTACAAAATATTGTAAAACACTATTGTTTGCATGATGCAATGAAGGTAATGAATTTCCACTGCCATGCTACTGCAATATTTTATATCTTCCTTCTTGAAGCACAAATAAACAAGGCAGCAAAGCTGTCAAATGTACAGACAAAGAACAGAAAATAAAGATGCAAATAAGTGAAAAATTAAATTTTCACCAAAAAACTGTTAAATTGTCAGAAAAATTTACCAAACAGACTGCATTGCTATTGAAGCTGTATGTTAGACCCATGTATCTTTCCTGTAAGTTTGAGAACAGTAAGTGACATGATTTCCCTTAAATAGTCATCATAGGAGCAGTGCCCAAAATAGGTGNGACCAAAGATGGTACCCAGCTTCTCTCTCAAATCCAGAGCCATCTTCTACAGCTCCAGACTATTGTATCTGATCATGGTCACCTGTTTATGGACATTCAGAAGAAAATAAACAACCTCTCCGAAACTGACAAGCATCTGAGTCGAAATCTGACCGACCAGGAGCAGGCAATGCTCAAAGATATACAGCATTTACAACGTCAAATGGTCAGTTCCCATGCCAAGATGACCAATGTGACTATCACATTGAAAGACTTGAGCTCAGCAGTGTCAAGGATGCAGAAATACACGGACCAGCAAAACATGTTCAACCTGCTGTTAACAGACAGGATAAATCTTCTCACAAAATTGGGTAAGTAGGATATTTTTGTGAAGCCATTGTTTTTCACTGGTGCAACAATTAAGTGGCTGGAATTAAAACAAGAGAATTTCTGATGCAAGCACAACTTGGCCATGAACACCCAGCAAACAGGAGGCTGAAAATGTTTCAAATTGTATCTTTAAGTTAGCAAACTCCACTGCCAGTATTTGATCCTAAACTATAGGATTAAATTTTGTGATTATGTTCTAGAAAAAGTTTCCATCTTTTACAGCATTATACAGCCAGTACCAGACCTCTTACTATTACTACGTCAGTTCTACACTGTCCTGGGATGACGCAGCAAATTACTGTAAAAAGATTCACCCACAAGGCCATCTTGCTACCATCCAGTCCCAGGGAGAAAATGACTTTATTGCCAAATTGCTCCCTTATGGTAAATAACAGAGCCGAAATCATTATATCTTACTGATAATAGTTCTCAACTTTAAACATTCTGTGTATATTTTTATTATCACAATAAATAAATAAAATACCAGGAATATCAAGTAAGAATTTTTACAATTATGTACCTCAATGAATTAACTAACCAACCATAAAATTTTCAAATTACACACTCATTTGACAACTGCATAAAAAACTTTAACTATTTCATAAACCACCTGTGGTGCCAGTTATCAGAATGTTTTTCATTTTCATTTTGGTTTTTTCAAGGTGCTACATCTTTCCTTGGTGGACATGACAGAGTGCAAGAAAACAAGTGGCAGTGGGAGAATGGAGAAACATTCAATTACACAAACTGGAGCCCCGGAGAACCCAACAATGGTGCTGCAAGAGAACACTGCATGATAATGTATCAAAACAATAAACAATGGAACGATGCTTACTGTACACCAGGCAACACTTTTGTGTGTGAAATCGATTCCTAGGATCAGGGAAGAAAATGCTTTGTCCAATACTTAGATTTGATTTTGATTTAATTTACTTAGGCTAAAAGAAATGAAACACACTTTGATTGTTTTACTTATTAATCACCTCTTTGATTTAAAAACTGGAAAATCACTGATCAATCAAAAATAATGCTAGTGTGACACTAAGATTATGCTTCATAAATTAAACTTTTTCATTTTTCTACGTGTGAATTGTTTCGAAGGCTTAAAAAATATTGTAAAACACTATTGTTTGCATGATGCAATGAAGGTAATAAATTTCCACTGCCATGCTACTGCAATATTTTATATCTTCCTTCTTGAAGCACAAATAAAAAATTACAGCTAAACCCATATTGCATAGTCCTTTACCAGACTGAAAAACTGATTCTATATTGTTTATTACCCAATACATAAACAAATAAGAAAAAAATAGAAGTCCCTTACTACATACAAAAAACGGAAATTCCACTAAACCTTTTTTTTCACCCAATACATAAAAAAAAAAAAAACCTGCGTACCTTTATCTCAGACAGCGCATCAGTGCTGAGCTCCACCTGCCCCAGTTCAGGTGGTTGCTGTGAGGCCTGGGCGAGGGGCACAACGTCCTGCTCCCCATCCTCTATCCCCTGTCCTGCTGCAGACATGTCCAGTGCAACCACCCTCTGCTCTCCCTGCTGGGTCTGGATGATCACCTGGGACTGGTTCAGATGGTTCAGCTGCACTGTCACGTTCTCATTGCTTCTCATGGAGTCTGGGAGCTGTCAGAAAAATAATAATTTTATTTTCATTTTTTTTTTTTTTGAAAGTTTAAATTTCAGGTTGTTCAGCTGCATCGTCACGTTCTCATTGCTCCTCATGGAGTCTGGAAGCTGTCAGAAAGAAAAATTTAATTTTCATTTTTTTGAAAGTTTAAAGTTCAGGTGGTTCAGCTGCATCGTCTCATTCTCATTGCTTCTCATGGAGTCTGGAAGCTGTCAGAAAGAAAAATTTAATTTTCATTTTTTTTTAAGTTTCAATTTCTATTTCTTTTAATCAAGTAAGTTTTCTATAACTTATAAATATTCTGTCACTTATGAGAAATTAAACACTGAAAGCTCATTAGAGAACTGCATTTCAAAAATTGTAATTCAAATGCCTCCTACAAGCCCTCACTCACACATGCATGCACGCACACGCACGCACTCACACACACTGACCTGAGTACTGGACATGGGCAGTGTGTGGACTATGATATGATCTGTGGCCATCCCTCCAGTAGCAAAGGATATATGTGGGTTGGTCTGTGGCTGGGTGATGAGGAAGGCCCCAGAACTGGTGGGCAGACCCTGGACTAGTTCATATGCCTGGAACGAAGCTCCATCTGTCTCTTCTGTAGACAGGGCCGCCACTGTTTGACCTGTGAATAAATGCAGCATACATGTACACATATATAGCAGGAAAGATGCTCCAGGACTGAATAATGTTTAGTAAGCAACCATTAAAATAAAATGACTTTTTAAAAACTTATTTATTAATCACAATTTATATCAGGTATCATTACAAAAAATTCCACCATGTTTAAATTTGTTTAATTTTTCTGTGACAGTTGTGGGTACATGTAGCACCCCTGTACCAACCGCTTGCTGTACCACACTCTACCATACCCACCTGACTGTACAGTGATGGGTACATGGAGCGCCCCCGTACCACCCCCTTGCTGTACCACACCCACCTGACTGTACAGTAATGGGTACATGGAGCACCCCTGTACCACCCTTTTGCTGTACCACCCCCTTGCTGTACCACACTGTACCATACCCACCTGACTGTACAGTAATGGGTACATGGAGCACCCCTGTACCACCCTTTTGCTGTACCACCCCCTTGCTGTACCACACTGTACCATACCCACCTGACTGTACAGTAATGGGTACATGGAGCACCCCTGTACCACCCTTTTGCTGTACCACCCCCTTGCTGTACCACACTGTACCATACCCACCTGACTGTACAGTAATGGGTACATGGAGCACCCCCGTACCACCCGCTTGCTGTACCACACTAACACGAGGCAGTGAAGTAAACCTGACAGCATTGGTCTGAGGTTTGCTGCGGATGTTCTGGGAATGCATTTCACTCAGGTTGGCAGCTATCTCTGAATAAAGAGTACAGAAAATAAACACATGTTAACATATGAGAGAGAAACTGCACAAAGACCACTTAATATGGTAAATTAGAAGAATATAACATGGAGCAATATCATCTTCATGATCCTTTATTTTTTAAGTATCCAGGTAGCAGATCTTACCTTGAAGACTCAGGGCATGGTAATCAGGCACATGTCTCTTGAGCTGCCACCATTTTCCTCGTAGCCACTGTGGGGACCTGGCACTATGAATAATAGAAAATGAAATGTCTGCTTATAACTACGAGATGACTGTGGACCTGAATCCAAGTCTGAAGTGTATGGAACATTTAAGTGTGGGCCCTACTGAAAGGATATCAGCCAACAACAATGTGAGGGCCAGGGGATAAGATTTCACATCTATCACAGTCTGTACTGATGAAGTCTGACTGTAAGCAGAAGAAACACCAGCTGGGAAAGTATCTGTTTATTCCTCAAGATATTGGCAAAAAAATTTCTACATTTCTTTTGATTGTTATAAGTGGTTGAGACTTTCATGAAATCTTGACAGGATTAATTATTGACATGATAGTACTGAAAGATAATATATTGTTAATTTAATACTTTGCTAAAACTACCCTCTGGTTTACTAACCTGCTCCAATTCCTGGTCAGTCCCTCCCAGTCAACTTCATTCTCATCATTTACTCCACTCTCAATGATTCTAATAAAAAAGAAGACTTTTCATGAATTGATTCACTGATACAAAAATGGGAATGTTTTTAATTGTCAGAGGGTAAAATGGTAATCTTAATTATGTTAGTGAAATTCATTGAGCCAAGTATATTTAAATTTCTTTTCATTTTAATTCATGAAGAAAGAGAAGACAAATTTTACCTATCAAAATCAGACTGCAAAATAAGATAAGCCACCAGCATTAAACGCTTGTATCTTACAAAATATCAGTGACAAGAACCACTGAGATAACCACCTGAGAGTGAGCTGTATGTCATCATCTCGTGTCCAGTCTGTTCCTCCTTTGTTCTTCCAGTTGAGGTAGTTCAGCCATTTTGTCCGGCACTGTTTCTCAGACCTCGTCTTCACGTGGTCGGCCACAGCTGCCCAGGACAGCCCACTGGTCACACTGTCACCTGGAAACACAACGCAACTATCATAGACTGACCTTTGACCTCGCTTCTCACATGAAAATGTGAGAATAGAAGATCTGGGTCCTGACTTAGGAATATGAGCAGATTAGATTTTCAAAAGGTTTCAAAAGGTTACAAAAATAAATAAATAATAATAATAAAATAAATAAATAAAAATAATTGTGTATGAACTGCAAATGGGATGCTAGACTTTAATAGAAGTAATGCTGTATTGATGATAAGAAATCAAATATTTTTCATTTACCCAAACTAATTCAAAATATATACAAATGACAGACACTGACAACATATTCCCTGCAGTATTCCACCTCTTACCCTGCTTTCCTCCTGTTAAATTCATCACTGCCTCCGCCAGTCTCTTCTCTTCATCATTCAGCCACTTGCCTGTGTGAATGCAGAACAATGTGATCACATTATATCTTTGTAACAGGATAAAAACTATCATGATAAAGTTATTTAATAGAACAGTAAAGGATTATTGGAATGCAAATTCCATTTAAGAAAATTTTCCTTAAAATTAAAAAGAAATTCTATTAATGTAATAGCTGTCAGCATCAATCTTATCTTAAAATGAATGCAAAGTTTCTGGATATTCTATTTCTTTATGCATATAATTAAAGCCTTAGTATGAATTTTATTCCACGTCTTTAACTTCCAAGCTTTTATTATTATCATTACCATTTTTAATCACTTTTAAGATCTCCATTAGTATTCAAATTTCTGATACATATTTTGCACATATACATTAGCTGAATATTATTATTATTATTATTAATCCAGTTAAAAACAGTGTCCAGGTACCTGAGTTACAGGTGTCTTTCATCAGCCGGCACCTGTCTTTGACGGAGGCTGCACTGCGGCCCAGAGCCTGCCCAATCCGCGCCCAGTCCGTACCATATTTTACCTTCAACCTGAGGTAGAACAGAGTTTGAATGTTTAATATTTTCAGTGCATTATGCTGTATTCACTCTGTGACTTGTCGTATGCTTGTTTTAAGGTAAGGTCACTTTCAGTGGAAATGACCTTTAAAGCCAACTTGTTCTTTAAGGTTATTACATGTTATGTAAAATTCCGGGTGATCTTTTATGGTTTCATCACTTCATAAAAATTACTTCAAAATTGGAGTGTTGTTAAAAACACACACACACACACACACACACACACACACACACACACACACACAATTTATAATAAATAAAAACAAATTCCAATGCAACAGTCTTCTAAGAATTCTTCCAAGCCCTACCAAGTAACTTCATAAAATAATAATATTAAAACAAAGCTATTTAAGACTTTCTTTTTCCACTAAATGCACTTACTCCCTTAATTTTTCAATTTCCTCAGGCGTGTACTTCCCCATGTGATTCTTCTGATCATACATCCTAATAACACGCCTGTACACAGAAAATAGGGGGCGCTCCAGACCAACAGCTATACGGCGATAGAAATCTTTGCGCTCATCCTTTGACATTTCAAAGATGATCTCGGTGGGGTCTGCTATGCCATGGGACTTGCAGTAGTTGACAATGTTCATTTGAAGAAGATCAACTTCCTCTTTGGACCACTGCCCTTGTTTCCATTTAACACCTGGAATAATCAATAAGGTTTCTAAATTGTGAACTATTTTAACTGTGGTAAAACTGTTTAAAATCTGTCTTCTCATGCTTTCACGATATCTGCTTGGCTAAATGTCTAAAGGGGATACAAGGCATCTGACTCTTTGTGTGATGTAAAACAAATCATTAAATTTCTAAGAAATTTGCAAATTATATAAAGGCTAAAACTAGAAAAGCACTCCGAGAGCACAGACCTCCAACAAGGCAGTGATTTTTTATTATTATTGATTATTGATCTGGATCACCACCAAAAACTAATCAATTCTAAATTAACCATTTCCCACCTGCCCTGAAAATTTCATCAAAATCAATCCATAACTTTTTGAGTTATGTTGATGACAAACAGACAGACAGACAGAGACAAACAGGGGTGAAAACAAAACATCCTCGGCAGAGGTAAAAAGCCTACATGTGGATCATTCCACAAAAAAAGTGAAAATATGAGACACTTCAGGGGTGCACAGATTGTCAGTAATCTTTTCATAATTGTTAGACTTTTGTACATGTGTTAGGTGCTAGATATTTGTAGAAGTGTATTTACAAAGAAAAAATACCTTTGCTGTGTAGAGCAGTCTTCTCCTCCCTGTTTGTAAACCATGACTGGGTGATATCTGTTGGCTTAGGTGATGCCACACCTGAACTAGACTAAAACAGGAAGAGCATTCTCTCTGCTTGTGTAAATATATTAATTATATCAGGCCACTAATGTACTGTTTTGATTTCTTTGAAGTTCTTAACATTTGGAAATTCAAACTGGGTCTTGAAATTGAAAACATACTATCTCTTACACATAAAATATATTCATAAACTATAAAATAGAGAATCTTTTCACTGTTATGTGACATAAACTAGATTTATCTAGAATTGATATTTCAATTTATCAGTTTACCTAAAAAAATCTTATCTCCAAGATATGTAGAATTACAAGAATCCAAAAGTGTTATAAGTATAAATCATAAACTTACAGCGCTGGCATCTGTCACATCTTCACCATCTTCTGCTGCCTCTAAGGCATAATTTCCATCAGGATCTGAAAGAAAAAAATCAATGTCAGTAAATATCACAGCTATTCTTTTTGTTTCATTCTTGCTTATTTACTTTTGGAGTATTGGGCAAACAACTACTGCTAGGATTAAAACTCGAATTTGGGTTTAAAGAGCATAATTCTTTGTCTGAATATTTTTAGATTGTCAGATATGGTATACCTTGGTGTTTAAGAAATAAATGAAGGAATTTTTAATTTACTATAATATAAGTATCTAATGCCCATTGTCTGTCCTCAATAATACCTGTCACAGTAAGTATGTATGTCTGCCCGTCTTCCTGTTCTACCCTATATCTCTTACGTGGGGGATGGCCATCCAGGTTCTCCGCCTGCCCTAGCTGGCTGTCTCCTCCTTCAATATAGAAAAATCCTCACATGAAGTCCATCTTTTGAGATCCATAGTCATAACCATGGAAAAATCGAATTCATTTACCCTTTTGCAAGTGTAAACGATGTTGGCTTTGTCACAGGCCCATGATCTAATAACATTTCAAACTGACCAACATTATTTCAAATTATGAATTTTTTTCCCTTTTCGGTCACTCTCTTTTATACAATTATCAATCAGTTTTGCTGTTTATAAGTACAAATCAACATCATTGTGTATCTTGCAAAAACTGAACAACACAGTCACACACAAATGCCTGCGCATGCACATACGCCCGTGCACACACACTTTCTTACCTGGGTCAGCCTGTGCATAAATGATCACATGGCTCAGTTTATCCTCATCCTCTATAGTCTCCACATGGACATTGGCATTTGATTGCAACAAGCTACTGTCCAAACTATCACCTCCTGAAACAACATATGAAATAACTAAATGCACCTTTAAAATACCCTATCTAGAAATGCGAATCAAAATAAATAAGTTCAAAATCATGGGCTTATACATTCTACAATTTTGATGTGTAAGACAGTGTTGTCATGCCATCAATCTGTTGAGAATTATTTATTGCAAATGTGACAGTACTTTTAGATATATCGCCCGTGACCATCAAAAATAAAACTATGTGCATGGATAAAAAGGACAGTGACCAGGATCATAGCAGTTCATAACTCACCTCCAAGGCTATCTGAATGACTCATGTGTCCTTCTCCTTCTTCCAAAATCCCTGTAATTACTGTGCCACTTTCTCCATCAACCAAATGCACACCTCCTGAAAATGAGGTTTAAATTATGACTTTGAAAGAAAAGAAGTGATTACCTTACAAACGGTGACCTCTTTGAAAATGACATTACACGTCAAATCCAAGGCAGGGGCAGGACCAGCAATGATGAGTGACGGGAAAATTAATTTTGCTAGATAAATCCTGTTTTATATATACCTTTAAATTTTTTTAATTAATGAGAAACAGTCAAAAATGTTTAAATGCTGATTTTCAACCATACTGTACCCTTTCCATCTTCTATCTTTCCTATCTCATCTTCTGTCTCTACTTGATCTAAACTACAGTTGTCCTCTGCCATTCTAAAAATCAACATCAACAGTATTCTACATTTTAGGAAAAAATACAAAAGCAAGAGAGGAAGAAAAGAACTTATAACAAAGTTTTTCAGTGAAAATTATATTTGTAAAAAAAAATCTACTGAATAGTTCAAAGAATACATGTATTTGAACGTTCAGTGTTTCATTCCGACCAAATTAAGCTTCACTTCAGGCAAATTATTTTTCCATTATTGTGATCCTTTTTTTATTTTTTAAATTTTATTATTATTTATTTATTATTATTATTTTTTTTTTTTTTTTGGCCATGAAGCTGGAAGACACATATTTTTTTGAAATACATAAAATATAAAAATACATAAAATTTATAATAAAAATTGCATAAATAATCTTGAAATTAAAGAAAATTTTAATTTATATTAATGCATATATTAATAAAACTTTTAAAATATAAGAGGAAATTAAAATGCTAAGGAATCGGTTGTTATATGTTTTATCTTTATTTCTCTCATTCTACTTCAACTCACACCTGTGGCAGCAAACGTGTAAAACAAACCGCCATTTGCAAAATGAAGTCTGTTTTGACTGTTCCATCATAATGAGGTAATTTATGGCTCTGTTCTCTTTAAACTAGGCCAAATTTTACATCTCGAAATTCCTTACAACCTTCGCCGAAGTTTTGACAACCATTTGGGACTTACCCACGTGTATAAAGCACGTTTTACAATGTTTTCGTCCGGGGTCTTCCAGAGAGACCAGGATGAAAAATGTCCAGGATGTTCTCTTTGCGAACGAATAAGGCCTGTTTTTTTTCCTCTGGATTTCATATTAAATAGTAGTCAACTGACCTATCCACTTTAAATTCATGATATTGGAAATGCATTCAAAAAGTTCGTAGAAGGTTAATTTATTTCTAAAGTGCACATGTGTGATTATAACATTCAATATAATTTAAGGACTAATTGTTTGGCTTATTAAGAATTGCGTTAAAATTTTGTCTCGTATTATCTCGCATATTCACACCGAGATCAAACATGGCTTCGCTGTGCCGCTGCCTCCGATCTGCTGCTAGTTTAAAGTTGCTTCAGTCCCAGGTAAAGCAATAATGATGTGGTTTCAAAAGATTAAAGCAGATAATCAATGCATAAGCATGCTTTGGTGCACTTGCCGGTGCTAGGCACAGTTTATGATGTCTTCTAAATATCACCTTCTTCAAGTTGACCTTGGCGATTCATTTCCAAATTCTAGCTTTGCTAGGTTAAGCATGGCTCTAATCCGAAAGGGAGTGTTATCAATCATAAATGCATCTCGAAAATGGTTTCCTCTTACATGTATCATGAATCAGATGCCGAGATGATTTGACAATGTGAAATAGTTTTTAAAAATATTTGTCCTCCAGCCAGTTTGTGCTGCAGCAGTTCAGAAAAGATGGCTGAACCTTCACGAATACCAGAGTAAGGAGCTGATGGATTCCCATGGGTTGGCAGTACAGAGGTTTCTCATGGCAGAGAAGGGTGGAGCCGAGGCTGAAGTAATTGCCAAAAAACTCAGTAGGTTCAGTTTGTCATTATTATTATCGTTGCCTGGGGTAGCGCTAGCAGTTTTTTTTCCTAAGCCAAATCATTACCTTGCAGCACTTTTTTTCAGGTGTCACTATATTGCTCAATTCAGGGGCACCACTTTTTATGTCCAAATGGTTAATATTTGACAAAATGAATTAAACCAACCCTAAATTGTTTAGCCAACTTAAGTCGGTTTTAGCTTTGTGCTAAAATGGCAAGTGTTAGCACCACCCCATATTATCATTTAATTATTATTATTATTTTGTGATATGACATGCATTCTGTAAATATGACATGGATAGCAAGATTTTAAATTTGCCTAAAAAGCATGCACATATTGTACGCAAAAATGTTAAAATGCATAAGAAGATAATAAAAACTAAAGGTTTCTAAAGGAAGCATCTATTTCAACAGTGAACATATATATTCATTAGTAATTTGACACTTAATAATTTTATTCAATAAGATCAGATAAGATAAGTAACCAGACAGTGTAATCAAATGGTCTCTATACATATTGAGTTTTATGTGTATGCTTTTCCCTTCAGATCCTATAGAATTTGTCATCAAAGCCCAGATATTGGCTGGAGGCAGAGGAAAAGGCACCTTTGATAATGGTTTCAAAGGAGGAGTCAAGTTGACTAAGGAGTAAGACAAGCATCAAGACTTTGGATTGGTGTTATATTATACCAAGAATGAGACCAGGTCACTTATTGGCCAAACTAGTGTCATATGACAAGCAAAAATATAATTCGTTGGTGATATGTTTTCTATCTCTAAATTAGACCCCATTTCCAGAGATTAGATCAATCTACTTTAGATCGTCCTAACTCCCTGGGGGTTCATGCTAAATAGCTGTCAGCCGAGCGGACACAAAAGTTAATTACCCCCTTACAGCTTGTAGTAGGCGGGACAGACATTTAAGCCGGATTATCTGACAGTAATCTAGTGAGACTCCTCGCAGGGATAGATCGATCTAAAAGCTCTGGGAATACAGCCTTATTCTTATCCCACTTAGTAAAATGCACATAAAAAATTGATTTGAAATATGCACAAGTTTTGATGACTTAAAAGATGCGCATCACTATTTTAAGCGACAAAAATGTTAATAAACATAATGCTTGAAGTTTTTACTTGTACTCTTTTCATTTCAGTCCCAAAGAAGTTGGCGACTTTGTATCTAATATGGTAGGACACAGACTTATGACGAAACAGACTCCACCAGAAGGTGTGTTAGTACAGAAGGTAAGGAATTTAACACAAAAGATTTTGACTGTTTAAATTATATGTTTATTTGTTTAAAAGATTTTACACTTATTATTATTTTTTTTTTTCAAATTTATTTTATAAGTTTTTTTGACTTTTTTTTTTATAGAGCAAATGAACATTAATTCATGGCATTAATCTATTAAAATATGATTAAAAAGTAAAAACTTGTCCTCCACAAGAAGCAATCTGTAAATCCTACCACTTTTTCGCTTTAACCAAAGAACTGTTTGGTTAATTTCACACTTAAAAGCCATTTATTTATGTTATTCATTTCTTCCAGGTAATGATAGCCGAAGCATTTGATATTGAGGACGGCAAGGAGAGATACCTGGCTATTCTCATGGACCGTGAAAGCAATGGTCCCGTGATAGTAGGCAGCCCATACGGAGGAATGGACATCGAGGAGGTGGCTGAGAACAATCCAGAGGCGATATTCAAAGTATGGGGTTTCATACGTTGTGAATGTCTGCTTTATTGCTTGTTTTTTATTTACTACTTAGTGAAACCCTAAAGCTGAGAGGTCTTTCAGGTCACTGCTTTAAAATTAGGTCATTTACACGGTGGGGTGGGTGGGGTTCTTCCAGGTTATACTAGACTCACACTGTCACATTTTGTGGTATTTTGCCTGATCACAGCAGCCCTAGTATATCAGTATAAATATGTGTAGCACACACAATTTGAATGGGACTTTTTAATGTTCTAGTAATGTCTTTATGTGTCGTAAGCATTTTGTTTTTACAGTCTTCAATAATGACTTAGTGTGATATGGGTGTTTGTTTAACCACAGGAAAGCAACTGTTATGAGGCAGTGTACCCCCCCCCCCCCCCCCCCTAACCACTGACACTCACACACCATCCCCACTTCCCTTTTCCCATTATTGATTTAAATGTTTTCGCATTGTTTCATTCAGGAACCAGTGGACATTATGACTGGTATCACAGATGAGATAGCAGAAAGGATGGCCACTAACTTGTTATTTGAAGGAGATAATCATAAACAGGTATTTTGATGATTTGAATTATTTTTAATATTTATAGACAGTCTCAGTGCGTTAAACCCTTAAAATAGCACGAAAATGAATTTTCCTGGAAAACTCACCAATTTCCCCATAATGACCAAGGTATATCCTATCCAAAACCGTTCAGAAAATGAAGCTACCTAATACCGTTTTTAAGTTCCATTAAATAATAAAAGACGACTCGTCTTAAATACTCAGCTACCACCTCACAGTACGGCTTCAGAACGCGCAATTTCTCGCTAAGTCTCGCGGTTTACTATGAATAAAGTACTACGGCTGAGACCCGGATGTTACTATTTGGCGCCAAAACAGCAAACATGGCTCAGACGCGCGTCAAGTCTGAAGAGACAAAAGGGGCGAAAGAAAATAGCCACTCCAGGTCGAAAGATACGAAATAAAATTAGAGACAGACGAAGAAGCACTCAGACTGTGTATGTTGGGAGGGAGGTGGGGCGGTGGAGGACACTTAAAGCTGAATTAGGACTTACATACGAGGCAATGGCGAAACTACTCCTCGACACGTGAGTATGCGCTTCACAGGTCTCAAGTGTGTCTGATTATCATATTATCCTGTTCACAATAAATGACAATATTTGTGCTCATACAAAGTTGGTTACGTGTATAAGAGCGTTTTGGGCTTTACGTTTTCTGTTTTTGATCGGTACATGTACTGAAAAGATGGACAGGCGGCACTTACATGTCTGACAAGTTTCGCTGTGTAGTCGTGACGTCTATCTCATTCTGACTGAAGCCTGCTGTGATTGGTCGTAAGCGTGGGAAAATCGAGGTCGTGACCTTGAGCCGGAAGTACTTCTGGCTGTGCTCCGAAATCATGATAAATAGTTTTCGTTTTCTAATTCTTTATTCTAGTTGTCTTAACAGGACTTTTGTGATCCAGACTTATTCATATAATAATAAACAATCTCCCAAAACACAAATCTGATCAAAGTTTTACATAGAACCTGCTCCTATACATTAATCTAACCCACTGAGTTGTCCTTTAAAAAAGCTTTTGAGAGCTAGATGCTAGGAGCTGCCAAATTTGTAAATATTACTCATTTGAGCTTTGATGCTTAAAAACTGAGCGCCATCATGGTTAACTAATATCTGTAACAATGACAATGTGTTAATGAAATAATATTTGCTTAAGTTTTTCTTTTAAGTACATGCAAGTTGTGCATTCTGCTTTTGGGACAGACCAGGCATATAGCCACCACAGTTATCATATACATGTCTGTCTGTCCATTTGACAGCTTTGTCGCCTTGGTTTTTGTTTCTCGTCAATTTTAGCCAAAAGTTTCATCCTATTTATCAGGCTGTTGACCAGATAAAGAAGATGTACAACATGTTCATCCAGATTGATGCAACACAGATAGAGGTGAATCCCATTGCAGAGACAACACAGGGCAAAGGTGAGACTTTAAAAAGTGGGGAAACAGGGATAAAAGTGTGTTTGATACGAGCGCAGTTATGGGTGCAGGCAAGGAATTCACCACTGTCTAATCCCTGTAAATTACTGTGTAAAGTTCCTGTTGTCAATGTGATATCAATTTTAGCACTTAAACATTAAATAGAGTGTTTTATTTATTTATTTTTTGTCATTTTATTTACACTCTAAGCTTTAATATACTGGCATATGAAAAAAAACACATAAAATTGTACTTTTTCTTTGACTATATATATATTTAATCATTTTTTTTTTTTTCAGTCATCTGCTTTGATGCCAAAATTAATTTTGACGACAGTGCAAGGTTCCGACAGAAAAAATTTTTCGATGCAGAAGACAAATCTGAGATGGACTGGAGGGAACGTGAAGCTAACGAGTCTGACCTCAACTACATTGGCATGGACGGCAATATTGCATGCTTAGGTAAGGTACAGTAATTGCATAAAATATTCATACAACCGGTGACCTATTTCTATTATTTTACATGTACAAGACAACCACCGCAGTTACTTATTTGACACAAAGGTAGCTAGTGTTTTATTTTCTTTTGAATAATGATATTATGATGATTGTTATTAATTCATGCTGTTTGATTTTGTTTGGCAATCACCATAGAGGAGATAGGAAGGTTTTTCTTTGCCTGAGAGAACTTTCTTGTATGATATCTTTCATTTAGACTGCTGTAGAGATGCTGGGCATGCTACCAATTTCTGTAGGACTTTCAATTTTATTATTGTTAAATTGACCTAGCAACTGTGCCACAAGGCTACGTTTTCTTGCATAATTGCACCATTACGTTGTGTTGTCCAGCAGGAAAGTATGTGCTTTCATATTTATCAAAACACAAAAATGATAACATAGCTACAATGTTTTCTGAAGCATACATGTGTTTGTCTAATAAACAAATTGGCTAACAAATGAAATTGGCTCTTGGAATGTAACAAGTTCAGAACTCCGTGGTCACTCTTCCTATGTGTTTCTTTCATCAGTGAATGGGGCAGGGCTGGCAATGGCTACCATGGACATAATTAAGCTGAAGGGCGGGGAACCGGCCAACTTCCTGGATGTGGGTGGCGGTGTAACGGAAAGCATGGTTGAAAACGCATTCAAGCTCATCACAAAAGATTCCCAGGTAAGCTGTTATCAACTCTCTTGGCATGTTGTCATAACGCAGTCTACAGTAAGATTTTAATGCGCAAATTTTGTGACCTAGTTTGCTTTTCATTCAAATTTTTAGGCCATTTATTTTTTTACTAAGAACACCAAGGTGCTGAGGCCTTCAATGGCTTAATGCATGCTTTGTTTCTATTGTTATGACAGTTACATAAAATCTCACTCAGTGAGTATTAATGTATTCATAATCATTCACTTAAATGCAATTGTTTAACAAATTTGACATAACAGACATTTACAAGTTGGGGGACAATTTTTGTGGATATGTCTCGGAAAAAGTTTATTCCTTTTGAAACAGTGTTACATATGACACCTTGATTTACAGGTGAAAGCCATCCTTGTGAACATATTTGGAGGTATTGTGAACTGTAAGACTATTGCTGAGGGTATCACTAACGCTGCCAAGAGCATTCATTTGCAAGTCCCCCTGGTAGTAAGATTAGAAGGTAAGCAAAGAGAACTAACGCTATGGCAATGTTTGTATAATATTGTTGCAACATATGTAGCAGTAATTATTGTGTTACATAGATTGATCCAACACCCCAAGTGTGGCATGAATTCTAGTCCTTGGAATGGAAGTCTGGGGTCCCATAAGATAGGTACAGGTTAGGGTTAGTTGGAGTGCGGGGGGGGGGGGGGGGGGTTAGTATATGGGGCTAATGCCACCTGTACTAAGTAAAGGAAAGCTGACTACAGTTCCTAGTGGACTTCCATTGCTGACACACCTGGACTGTTAATCAGAATGTAATCAGATATACAGATCAGCACACCTGTGCACCCACATTCACTGGCAGAGGAGAACCCGCCTAAAAATTAATATAATGTATGTCAGACAAAAACAAGTTTTCTTTCCTTCACTTCAGTTTTTTAACTTAATCCAGTTCAGTATTTAACTTTTTCTTGATATGAGAGAAGGAAATGCTCTAAATTTAGTATTTTGTTCTTTTTTCCAGGCACAAACGTGGACGAAGCTCGTAAAATTTTAGATGCCAGTGGTATGAAAATAATTTCAGCTACAGATCTGGGAGATGCTGCGGAGAAAGCTGTGGGCAGTATAGCTTAGGTTGTGTTTTGAGGATGGAGAGTTTACAGAAATAGTTCTCAGTGCTTGTTCAAAAGTTCATTGAACTGTTACAGACTTTATGTGGAAAATGAAGAAAGACTTGAAGATCTTCCTCAGGTGTAGAGTAAATATCATGGTTGGTGGGAATATTTTCATGTGGGACTCATTATCCACGTGCTGTCTGCATGGATGAAAAAATAGACAATCCAAGTAATAAATGGGGTTTGAAATAATACTGATGCTGAAATGTTGGGTATTTTTATAACAACTGTATACAGTTCTCTCCAAAGCTGCCATATTTATATTTTATTTCAGTTGAAACACAATAGGAGGCAAACATGTATCCATTCGGTCCTTCTTGTAATTATATATAAATGACTGGCTTTGTGATTTAACTTATTGCCATTTGATCATGATTTCTGCATTTGAACAGTTCTTTGTCAGAAATACTGCAAATCATGATCCTCTAACTCTTAGTCGTAATGCCAGTGGGTCGTGCTGTATTTTTATAAGCTTTTGGCAGAACTCTTATAACGAATGTAAGTAGGGTTGCATTCAGTCAATAAAATACACAATGTTTCTTTAAATATGTTTTGTCTTAAATTTATTTTTTCAATTTGAAGCGAGAATACACTTGGAGATTTGTTATAAGGTTTATTGATATTCTGATAGTTTAGTGGCCTATTTCTGTCAGTTTTATTCTTATCAATATTAGCTGTTATAGCCACACAACATGGATACAGATGTCGATATAAAAAAATTCAAAACTTACCTACCCAATGCCTGGTTCTCTCATGAATCTTAAATTTGAGAAAAAAAAATTTGCACCAGTTTATTCTTAGAGAATAGATGGCTGTTGTTGCAGTAACGATTGTGCATACCACAAACCGTACGTCATAGATGAAAGGGCGCAGAAGATGAACGTCACAAAATAAATACGTCATAGTTGTCTGAGCACACAAGTCACAAAAATACATGTGCATGGATGATCACGATGGTTATAATGCCACAATTCCAAGCAATGAACCCAAAACTCACTATTGTAATCGGGGTTTTAACAGAAATTACCACCAAGAAAATGAGAAACTAACAACTTTTGAAAAACTGACCCGAAAAACAGCGCGAACTGTTATACAAATGTTAACGTCACAGATAGTATGTCATACAGTCACAATATACTCTACAATGTAACGTCGTATGCGTTACGTTCTACGCCAATTTGTCGTGTATTCTGTGACGTTGCAGTTGGCAACGATCATGGCACAGCAACTATATATATTAAACTGTGCACAGACCTTACTGAGACTGGCATTTTGTCATACGGTATCATACCTGTATTAGTGCGGGGCTATTTGAGCATGATTTCTTGGAAAAGAGAGAATGAGGCAAGAATTAATGACAAGCAGTTTTGAAAATGTCAAAAGTTGTCGACGAGACCGGCCAAAACGACAAATACGAGGGAGCAAACAGATTAATCCTCGAATAACAGAAGCGAACAACGAGTGGCACTTACTCCAATATTGTACAGGTGATAATGAAAGTGCTGGAACAAAAAAATAGTGAATCTTGTTGGAGTTCAAGTGAGAATTGTGAATATTTTGTTTCCTTTTTTTGGTTGAAACAATACTAACTTTGTTATCTAGTATGCTTTATGATGGACAATTTCAAATGCTACTTTATAGCATTAATGATGATATTACTATGGTATACAGAACGGTGAATGTCGACAATCCACACACATTTCGTTTCACGACTTGTGATATAAAACTTGGATCGCAGCCTGATACAATTTTATCTACGAAATCTAGTTTGAAATTATAACTAAAAATCGAATCTCCATCAGAGAGAATTTATCCTAATCCACGTAGCGCATATTACTGCACAAATAAGTCCGTAGCATTTGTGAATCGCTGAATAAAAAAAGAAGTAAAAGAAATAATAAAAGAAGAATTTTCCACCCAAACTGTCCGTGTGATGAAATAATATTTTCTGTGTTCTATAACTACAACACCGTGTATACATTTTACATGCATAATTTTAACTATATAAATGTGCGTATGTCATCTTCTATACATGTCAACAGTTATATATTTTACTTTAGTTTAAGACAAGCCCCATTATTATTATTATTATTATTATTATTATTATTATTATTATTATTATTATTATTATCGTCTTTTGGTGGAGGAGAGGTAAACAATCTTATCCAGAAACATAATATTGCAAGTACATATTTACTGTTTTAACTTCCTGGATCCTTTATAATATGTTGTGCCCAGCAACTAGCCAATGTATAGGAACAGACGCCGTTAACGCGCCTGTTCATTTCCTTCTCTCTTTTATCTTACAGCTAGGTAAACCGTTGCTAGGGAAGTAATTTCATACGAACCACGGCGCGTCTTAACACCGGTCAACACAACGGCTTCCCATTCCTTTCCTTCCATAGTCAAACTGACCTGTCACCAAGATCTAGTATGTTTCCTGATGAATGTATTGTATCATTTAGTTAGAATATTTTTTTCTACTTTATGTGACGACGTTACTGACTTTGTCTTGGTGGTGAGAGGTTATAACCAAACAATTCCATGTTTTCTCATTATTCTTTATTATCGCTTTCTAACTACACTATCTACAGCTTATTCCTGATCGTTCAACCTCTTACATCGTTCTCCCTGTCTACATTACATTCTTCGCTTAAGTACAATAAGGTCGTGTCAATCAACTTAAGTGACATTACAAAACACTCCCCGCTCTTATTGCTGCATGCTGTCACTTACTAACGTTACATTAATTAACTAGTATATCTGTCCATTCTAATTTCTTTTTGTTTCTATAAATGATAAAAGCTATAGACATGCCTAATGTCATTCGAAGGTTATAATAATCTTTGTAAAAGTGCAGGAATAAATTAGACAAATTGAATTTAAGAATATAAGATCACTAAATCAATAAATCAATGAACTGAATAACTGACATGACGAACTTTTCACAGATAAATCAGTTGCTAGATACTATTTACAGAATAATCAAAGGAATAAAAGCATACGAGAAAACACATATGTAGGAACTATGGGTATTGTACAACTTGATAACGTGTATAATATCAAAACTAAAGATTTATATAAATAGGCCTATATGACCCAGGACTCTCACAAGCTACAGAACAGGAAAGAGAGAGAGAGAGAGGAGGGGGGAGGTGGGGGGGGCTAATGCGTTGGTAGCCAATGGATCCAAGTGAGAGGCATGATTGCTTGATCTTGATCCTATCCAGCCTGATTGATTTGACCTTTGTTGCACCGCTAAGTAGACACATTAAATTTACTCACGGATTACTGTCAGACAACCTTGATGCAAAACGCAAACAATTCCATTGAAATACCACAGTTGGGGGCGTCTCGAGTACTTCTGTCTGAAGGACAGCAGTGAACGACCAATCAAGTGGCTAGGCATGACCAGAAGGGGATCCCCCAAAATACCCTGGACAACCAATACTTACAAATACCCAATTAGTGACTGAATGATTTAAAAGTTTTAGCCCTATACCGTGGACATAGCTCAAGCGGAAATTAATGCTAGGTGGTCATTTGGAAGTACCACGTTTATCAGAAGTCAATATCGTAATAATCAAGATGCCTATAAATACATTTTGTTAAAAAAAAAGAACGAAGGAACGAGTATTGCTTTTGAGGTGTGGTCCGAGAAACAGTCAAACAAAAACGGTAATCCTGGGCGCAAATGTTTGCAAGTGTTTGAAGTTTTATGGCTTACTGTTAAAACAGGATATCAATGAAGATAGTATTCAGGATTAATCTTTAGTCCGGCAGAAGGGGAAACCCCCGAAAAAGTCGAAATGGTCAGTACAAATAAGACAAGTTGGACACTAACGGTCAGTACCAGAACGATTCGCTGACCAGTAAAATGCATATGGGCGCGTCCACAGGACGGGATTTCATCTGTGTTTTCGTATATATTATATGGACGGTGACCGGCAATACAAGCACAAACACAACAGAAAATATACCACAGACTGTTTCGTGCCCGGTGCTTTGCCGCTGTGCTTTCACGCCTTCGGCAAGATTGTCGCTTACCGTAGATTGTTCTAACCGCTTGGTTGGTCACATACCCAGGGATATACCGCTTCAAACAAACGTCCTGGATCTACGCAACAACAAACTCTCGGAAATACCAGCCCGAGCATTCTGCCACCTAAAACAACTGGCGGTTCTGTTCTTAGGAAACAACATGGTAGCAAAGTTCGATAAGGATAGCTTTGCAGGTTTAACCGCGCTGGAGCATTTAGATTTGTCCCCTCTGTATTATGGTATGAATTTCGATTATGAGTCGCTACCTCCGTCACTATTCAACGATTTAACACAACTGAGAGTTCTTATAGTGGAGAACATGAACACCAAAAATCACATCCAGAGAGATTTTATTGACCGTACAATGGCGCCTTTACATCGATTAGAGCAACTTTCCCTTCCCTACTCACCCCAAGGTAATTGGATCTTAGGGCCAGGGTACAGCAATCTCACGTCCCTAAAAACACTAACTTTTCAGGGGACGAATTCGATAAATGGGACGCAACTCAAACGACTAACGTTTGATTCGCTGAAAAACTCTCCTATCGAACGATTGGCTTTCAAAATCTGCGGGATTGGCTCTGTGGAACCTGGCACCATGGTGTCATTCCCACGTTTAAAAACCCTGGCTTTAGAGTGTAGCAATTTTCACTCAGGGAAGAGCGTTGAGGATTTTTTATGTGATCTTAAAACTACTTCCATCGAAAATCTTCTCATCAATGATATATTCCAAATTCGAATGCCCCCAAAGTGGACGATTAAAGCAAACAGTTTTGAATGCTTGAAACAAAAACTTATAAAGACATTGGAATTAACAAATAATAATATAGATGAATTTGACCTAAATAATATGAACTATTTCTCTCATTTAGAAAACGCAGACCTTTCGTACAATAGCATTTTCCGTGCTCCTTACAATGGAGTACAAAAAATTATTCCAGAAGGAGTAATTTTTAGCCTACCAATATGGAACCTGAAATACGTTAAAATGAACAACAATGTTATTCATGATGATAGAGTACCACCACGGTGCGCATTGTCACATTCTTTTTGGCACGGTCACCCTAAAATAACGTCCCTAAATGCTGATTATACCCACCAAATTTCCAATACATCCAGTGAGACTATACGCAAACCCACCGATCGCATGCCGTCACCAATTATTCGTTTGAGTGTGCCTGAAAATTTGGAATTTTGGTCAACAAGCTGGTTTCTGAAGTGGAACTTCGGCAGTTCCGATTGCGACACTGAAACGGGAAGCATTGTCATTGGTCCAAATAAGCTACGCTACATGATATTAGTTGACATTGGGTTCAAAATTTTATGTCAAGAGATCTATGGACTGGACCGCCTGGAATATTTAGACCTATCGCAAAATGGCTTGCACTTTCCTCCAAAGAATTTTTTCAATCATTTTCCATCACTGACATATTTGAATCTAAGCAATAACGATTTGGGGTCTTTAATTTCGAACGGGGGACTGTCTTCCTTTAAAACTCCATATTTAGAAACCCTAGATTTATCACGAAACAAAATCAGAACGATCCCAAAGGAATTCTTTGCTTCTCTCGTTGCCCTGAAGAAGCTGAAACTGAGCGGAAATCGTCTTGCAACAGTGTCCTTTAGCCTGATAAACCTGGTTTCCGTGGAATACATAGATCTTAGTGTCAACCAACTGAGCGCTTTCTCGTCCAAGGAACTGGACTTAATCGGATATTTTAACTCCAGCTCTGAAGTCGTTATGAACATGCGCAACAATCCGGTCACGTGCCTAGGTTGCGATGGGGCAGAATTCTTCAGGTGGATTACCGACTCGAACGTGACAGTAANAGCCTTTAAAATATTCATGTAAGAAACGATGAATTTGTCTGTGGAAAATAAAGGAAAACAACTTTGTTTTATTTTAAACTTAAGTTTTGGATTCAGAAATGTTCAATTACCTACATAATTTCATAAGTAACATTGAAACATATGCAAGGTACATGTACCGGTAGTAGGGCGTAGAACAAGAAGGTGCAACAATATTAAATTTACAAGTTAGATATAAAACTGACACGCATTGTTTGATTATCAATTGAAAACCTGTGATAATCGCCAAAGTAAAGTACATCTGCAAATGTAAACAAACGCCGAGTTGGGCCCGTCTTGGGTCATGGATGACGCAAAAACCTGGATTTTGCACGATTTTTGGTACAAAAAATTCTGCAACAATTTTTTCCAAAGATGGATTTTAATAATTTTTTATACATACAATATTGATTAAAAGATACGTCATGTCTTATCCGGAATTTCCCGCACACTCTCTAGTTGAGGAATAGTGACCAAAGTTACGATGTTGCCAAGGTCAAATTTTACCGCTCAGTGCAAATTTGACGAACGCAAGCTCACTCTAAACGACAAAATTTCAGTAGAAGGCTACGTGAATATGAAGTCTACATATCCCACAATTATAATATCGTATTAGACTTGCTAAGTATGCATTTATTTAAAGTATATAGCCATTTTTCGACCAAGTTTAATTTTTTTACAAAATTTGAGCCCGACGTTACGTCCTGGCGCGAGAAAACGACGTTATATCACTCCGCATCGACAGTATGTGTCCTACTGTAGTGACGCACGGACGTAATTACGTTGGCAGCCAAGCTCTTACTCAGGGTACCCGACTTATTATTTTATTTATTTATTTATTTACTAAGTGTGTGTGTGTGTGTGTGTGTGTGTGTGTGTGTGTGTAAAACGGGGGCCAGGGTGTCTTTGAACTAAATTTTGACCACCTTGGCGGTAGGCCCTACAGATGAAATCTTACGTAGGCCCTCTATACTGAAAGTCAATCGTTTCCAATCTTGTGCCCGGAAACATTAATGGTTCCCAATTCGTAAAGGAGAAAGACGCCGATGCTGTGTTGTTTATACCGGTTACCATCAGTGACCCACTAGCTTGTCGCCTGGTATAGGGCTAATAAACTGCTAAAACCAGCCTGCATTTTTGTGGCAATCTGCCCCTAATTCTGACGGGAACAGGTTGCTTTGTTTAGTTGTAGCAGCAGAACTGCAAGAGCAACGGATTCTAGAACTTTCTCAGACGGTAATCAGATGGTCAGTCGTGGACATCCTAGACGTGGACTCTGCGTAGGTACACCAGTCTAGGTATTCCTCTGTGACACTTTACCGATCTTTCCTTGTGACACAATAATTTGTCTGGCAATGTCTGTTTCGCCCCATTCTGGCGCATAGCAACAATGCTGTGACACACTGCTCAATTCATGCACGGTTAAACTGGCCACTTGTATGCAAAGTTTTAAAATAATCTGTGTGGGTGTTAACTAAATATGGAGTTTTTAAACAGAACAATGCATCTTTAAGTCACACGAGGACCAGCCCAAGGAGTGCTACCTAATGAAACTATCATATATTACGTGATATAAAAAAGGTAGTCAATTAATTTGTAATGACACACCGGACTACACACTTAAATTTCTATGGGGTAAAAGTTTTTAAAACGCCATACGTTTTATACCTAGGCATACACTGTAACTTTTAAACTGATAAATTAAATGTCAAGTCTGTATATGACTCACCCAAACTGAGCACACAAGTAAATAGGCCACTTATGAATGCTCTCTATGTACCAATGTACATTATATAATCTCTTGTCGCGTAGAGGTGTCTACGCTACTTGATTATCTGTAAAATGTTGCCTCAGTGTAGCTTTTAAAACTATAACAAACTACTTTTTTACACATTTAATTCACTTTTCAAACTTTACTATCGTTGCTTACTGAAAACGTGAAAAATTACGTATTTACGCTATTAAATCATAGATGAATGCACGTTTATATGTTTTAAATGTATTGTCAGCATAAGATTAGATAATTAAAATATGTTTTACGACGCACAGTTTAAAATGACCCCCCGGATCAGGCCTCGACTCGCTTTGTTTTTGTCGGTATTCCTTTATTTTAATGGTGCCAATTATGCTAAACTGCTAATGTTTCCTTTTACAATCGTTTTTAACTCCAGGGATGTGCACCTCGAAAGAAAAGCTGCCAGGCTTCAAAATGAAGGACATGGCGTCACCGTTCTTGTTGCCAACCATTGCAAATCTACTCGTGATTTAGCAGGTGTGACTCTTTTTAGGCTTCCTGCTTAACTAAAAGTAAAAGATGACAAAGAAGATGAAACATTGGTTTCTTCACCACTGGTCAAAGTTGGCAAAGATCCAATTACCTGTTTCCGAGATCTTCTTGAAGAGGAACTGAGGCTGTGCGACGTCCTTTTTAAAGACAGCTACTGTTTAGCTTCTATGCTAAAGGTCACAATGAGGTCACGCATTCGCATGACGTAGTGCATGGAGTTAACGGAATAAAGTGTGGAAGCGGACAGTACGGTGATGCGTTTTCTTTAGGCTTCGAGCCTGTATTTAATGACACACGTTCTCTCGAGGCTATATAAATGGCGACGAGGATGAACACGTTACCGCTAAGCGAACGGGACATCGGGTTCCAGCCATTCGATTGCGATGAAATGACAAATGTTGGCACAAGGTGGAAACGGTGGATTCGCGCCTTTACCTTGTATGCAGACGGCAAGGGAAACGGAGCATGACACGACGGTCAGAGTTTTAAACGATTATTTCACTTTTACGCTTATACACTTTACTATCTTTATAGCGGTCTTTCAGTGTGTGATGATCGGCGACAACCTTCTCCACAAAGGTTCTTTTCTTAAAGTCAAGTGAAAACAATTTTATTTCTTGTTCATTTGTTATGAAGCATGATACCTTGCCCTTTTGGTGGATTTACATATGGCACTCTCCCTATATACCAACTACAGACTTGAAATATGATATGGGAAATATTTCTAAATAATTCTTCATTCGATTTTTTGCCTAAAATTTGAAAACATTAAAAATAGTTAACATTCGTGTTTTTCAAGCACTAAATGAAAAGAAAACTCATACCTTTCAATCACTCCACAGTTTCTTCCAGTTGTTATGGCACCACATTCAAGTAATTTGCGTTTGAGTTGGTTCACAGTCAGCGACGCGTGCCCACGCTCCATGTTTAAACTCTGGTGTAAAGACGCGAGCTAGATTCTGCGAGATTTTAGAAGGACTGCTTTAACCCCCACGCCATCTAGCGGCAGACCCTCAACGCTGTTATACCCGGTAATGACACACCGGACTACACGCTTTTCTTTTAACGTAACTCATATGAGGTAAAAGTTTTTAAACCGTCTTGTTTTATTCCTAGACATACACTGTAACTTTTAAACTGAAATATTAAATGTCAATTTGTACTGGTATATGACTCACCCAAACAGAGCACACAAATAAATGGCCACTTAAGAATGCTTTCTATGTGCCAGTGTACATTACGGTGTTAAATAATCTCACGTAAGTGAGGTTGGGTTGTATACGCTACTTGATTATCGGTAAAATGCTGCCTCGGTGTAGCTCTTAAAACTAGGGCCGATGACAAACAATTTTTTACACATTTTACTTTTCAAACTTTACTATCGTTGCTCACTGAAAACGTGAAATATTATGTATTCATTCTATTAATTCATAGATGAATGCACGTTTATATGTTTTAAATGTATTATCAGCATAAGATTAGATAACTAAAATATGTTTTATGACGCACAGTTTAAAATGACCCCCGGATCAGGCCTCAACAATAACTAACATGGCTGACAGCGAGCGTATACTACCCTCGCTTTGTTTTTTGTCGGTATTCCTTTATTTTAATGGTGTCAATTCTGCAAAACTGCTAATGTTTCCTTTTACAATCGTTTTTAACTCCAGGGATGTGCACCTCGAAAGGATAGCTGCCAGGCTTCAAAATGAAGGACATGAAGTGACCTTGCTTGTTGCCAACCATTACAAATCTACTCGTGATTTAGCAGGTGTGACTCTTTTAAGGCTTCCTGCTTTATTAAAAGCAAAAGATGACAAAGAAGATGAATCATTGATTTCTTCACCACTGGTCAAAGTTGGCAAAGACCCAATTACCTGTTTCAGAGATCTTCTTGAAGAGGATCTGAGGTTGTGCGACGTTCTTTTTAAAGACAACCACGTCCTGCAAAAACTGAAGGAGGCTAACTACTCACTTTTACTGTTTGACTGGGAAAATCTTGGGGCATCAGCTATATTAGCTCAGTTTCTGGCAATTCCATCTATTTCCCTCAGTTATCAAGGATTTACAGAATATTGGTTGATAACTCACCAACCGTCATTCTACGCTTACACCCCTCATTATCTCAGCCGTTTTTCAGACCACATGGGATTTTGGGAGAGGCTAGAAAACGTAAGGATGATGATAAGTGATAACCTTTTGTATGATGAATTCATTTCGCGTGCTGAGGTTTTAAAATTGAGACATTTCCCGAATTCCAGTTGGCCGCACCTAAGGTACGCACACGAACGTGTGTCGATGCATTTGATTGCGCATGCCCACTTTGCCTTTGACTACCCGCGTCCAATTATGCCGCACGTGCAGACTATCCCCGGTCTTCTCTGGAACCCGCCAAAACCGCTTTCTAAACCGTTTGAAGATATAATGACATCTGCCACAAATGGCGTCATCATTGTTAGTTTTGGTACGGGATTCCCTACTCTGCCGAAAGCTAAGGCGGAGATTTTCGCCAAAGTATTTGCCAAACTTTCTCAGACGGTAATATGGCGCTACGTAGGACCCCCTCCGAGGTCGCTTGGAAACAACACTCACCTTGTGAAATGGATTCCACAGAACGACGCCCTTGCACACCCGACAACCAAGCTGTTTATCACTCACTGTGGCGTTAGTAGCACGTGGGAGACCCTATACCACGCCGTACCTGTGGTGGCCATGCCACTCTTGTGGGACCAATACCAGAATGCTAGAAAATTAACTGAACGCGCTAAGATGGGACAGACTGTCTCGTTCCTTACTCTTACTGAGACTGACTTAGAGAATGCCATCGAAAAAGTTTTAAAGGACAGATCTTACAAAGAGAACGCTCAAAAGATGTCTGTGCTTCTTCAAGATACCCCCTGGACGGGATATGAAGAGTTGTCGTATTGGATAAACTACGTCATACGTCACAACGGGACTCTGTTCCTTCATTCACAGCCTCAGTACCTACTGACATGGTACCAGTATTTTCTGATTGATATCATTGTGTTCGTCACGGGGTTATGCTGCCTGGTCATTGTCGGGACCTTTATATGTCTGGTCGGCCTATGGCAAGTGCTTAAGCTGCTTTTGACATTTCCCACCAGAAAAATTAAAAATGCTTGATACATATAATGTTGTGCATACTGGAATTTTAATGTTAAATTTTAAGATGACAAGAAGGTTACGATTCAATAAAAATACAAGGTTACAGCGTCGGTGCATGGCAAATAGCAATGCAGTGCCACTGCAGACGACATTTTGATATAATCTTAGCTGATCTGGAGGAGGGCCATAATTTTAGAGACTACAACATGCACGCTTTATCACGTTATTGGGGCTTTGATTTACTTGAGAAGAATTCGTGCTCGGAATGTACAGCTGGCTGACTCATGATTGGTCTATTTTGTATTGACGACTTTTTGGGTATTGTTGATGTAAATAATATGTTAGATAGATGAATATTTTACTGTAAAAATAATATTAGGCAATTAGTGTGTTAACGCCAGTTACAAAGACCCGTGTGCATATTCAGGTAGTCATAAAGAACTTAACCACAAATACAATGGTTGTGTTATTTATGCTTCGATGAGAGAGTTTATCTTTCTTACAGTGTCAGGGCCACAACTTTGACACTTAGTCCTGGGCGCATTTTTCAAGTCCTCATCATTGACCTGCAATTAGATTATCAGTTAACTGCACCACCAATATAGCATGTGGTAATGGCGTACTTTTCTCGCTATGTTTGTGCTTGTTCAATTTACAAATACATCTAACTTACGTTACCTGTAGCTATATAATCACCGCAAACAACGGAGATTTTACATTAATTATACAAAAAAGTGCGTGTTGATACCATTACAATACTGCCACTTACAATGAAATAAAAATTTAAATTTTAAAAGGAGACAAAAGCCATACCCTGGGAGCCACAAATTCCTTAATAACACAATGCCATGATCGTTTCTCAGAAGACACACCGTCACTGAACCCCTCCTTGCGGCGCCACAATATATCGTTAGGAATAAGACGCTCGTTTTCGAAGGCAGATCGCAAAAGATGCTTTTCTATTCCGTCTTTTGGCTGTCGTAGTTGAGGGTCGATGGTGAGGTAATAGCTGGTAAATTGGTGGTCTAGGAATGGCACGCGTACTTCGAGCCTGTGGGACAAATGTGCGCTGGTTGATATATTTTGTGCAGTTAAAGTCATGAATACAAATCAACAGAGAGAACATACGGGGAAGATCTTTGCAATAGAAACCCGTCATTTACATCAATAAAAATCATTAAAAAAAGAACAAAATCGACAGACAGCTTCCTTTTCCGGATTCTACAAATCTGAAGTTATATGAAAACTGAAGCCATCTAAAAATCAAACATGATTCTTTCATTGTTATTTGTGGTACAAAACACTAAATTTGTCAGAAATGAAAAGACAGCCATTACCTCTATATACAGAAAATGAAAATTTTTGGTTAAAAAAAATGCCCCCATACCCCCATCTTGCAGTAGTTCTGTCTACTCTTAGAACATCGTAGCGGTAAAGGACATCAAGAAGTCGTCTGCTGTCTACGTCAGCGTCGTCTGCTGAGGGTGCGTTATGAAAGTACATGTACCCCTGACACAGCTCGTCAGCTCCCTCCCCGGAGAATATCACCACTGTGTCGGTCTTCTCTGAGATATACTTGCTGACTAAGAACATTCCTTTAAAAGAAAAAATATCTTTATCTCTAGATTTATTAACAAATATACGAGTATTTAAGGCCCATGTATGTATAATATTATTTATGTAAGATAGGATAGCATATTGAGGATTATTAATATTATGAAACAAAATGAAGCAAGTTTTGTGACTGATTCTCTGAACATATTGTGATCATCATTCTGTAAACAGTTGTTGTTGGGGGGGGGGGGAGCGGGGAACCTCAAACAAAGAGGCTAATGATGGCAACAATGAATAATGATGGGGCTACCGAAATTTAAAACAATGACACAGAAAACGCATTAAGGCACAGTGCTCTAAATTGACGAATCAAATGAAGAATTAAATTGATCACGAAGAAGGAATAGTGTTCCCGATAATAAAGCTATAAACATTTTGAAATTTTATTTAAAAATCCCAAGGGCGTGACGTCAATAAAAAGTGTGATGTCATACCTACAGCTGCCCTGACTGTTATGATGTCATAATTTTCCAGGCAGGTGATGACATCACCAAGCGCTTGGACGCCTTCTTTTTCTGAGAAGAAAACTTCGTGGTGTTCGGTACCCAGGAAATCAGCAACCTAACAATTAAAATAATAAAGTATCCTTTTGTTCAATCTCCTCTACATGGATTTGCTAACCACAAGAAATAAAGCAGCCAAGTGCCGTATGGAAAAGAAAGCTCTGATTCATTCTCACTTCGATATTTAGTTCTTTAGATCGTTCACTAGTTCTTACATTTTAAACCTTACCAACTCACTCATGTGAGCTTAAGGCTTGATTATTGCAAATTATAGAAACTAATCATCAACGGGTACAAAGTGAATGTACTTTTATATTTCATTTTCTAGTGGAAAGTCGGTATACTTAGTGGTGACAGCAAGGGGAGGTGAATCACCTTTCTCGCAGCTTTTATATCAGTGCTTCCAAGCATGCCAGTGGCAAAGGTTCGGATCTTGTACTTTATTCCCATTTCCTTGGCGTTTTTTACTACCAGAGCAGTCACAAGACTTGAGTCGAGCCCGCCTGGAAGTGAAGAAATTAAAGTCACTCATAAGAACTGGACATGCTAAGACTCTTCGTATTTTGCTACACGTGGTTTATCTAACAAGGCGTCATGGTGTCGTTTGTTATTACTTTCACGGAGTTTTTTTGAGTTTGAAGCTCAATACATAATAAGTTCAAAAGCGCAATGATGGAAGGAAGTGTTACGTTTCCTTTTCTTTACTAGTTGTTCAATTTTTAATAACCACAAAAATATTTACTATGACATAGCACATACAAGTATCCCAAAAATCTGCAATAGATCTTGATTCAAATTAAAATTAAAAGATTTGAAAATTGTCATCCACACTAATAATTGTGGAACGAACCTTTATTACATATCTTTGGGGGAAAAGACTTCGCCACTACGTTATACTTTATCTCATTATTGACATTTTAAATCCACAAAAATAGCTTACATAACAAACTATGACAACTCACCGGATAGTAAACAACCTATAGGCCTATTCGCCATTAGTCTTTTCTTCACTGCTGCATCCAGCAAGTTACGTATATTGGTTGATATGCTGTCAACTGCAAGTAAAACACATTTAGGCAAATTCAGTTTCAGAGCAAAAATGATTGAGAAGTCTCTAGTTTCCTTTACATGCATTGCTAAACATGCTACTAGTTTAACAGAATATGCTACATCACTTGGATTTCAAAAAATACATAAATCAAGAAATTGGATAATAACCAGAACCGAAAATAAAAACAACTGGTCAAGCAAACACAGGCAAAATGGTGAAACTCTCTCTCTCTCTCTCTCTCTCTCTCTCTCTCTCTCACGCACACACACACACACACACACACACACACACATGTACAGAGAGAGAGAGAGAGAGAGAGAGAGAGCTGCGTATTCCCCTACTTACCAAGTGCGGGAGCTATAGTCTTATACTTAGGCATGTCACCGATGTTATGGAACCTCTTTACCTCTTCAAGCTTGGCCTTTCCGCCCTGGTCCAGGGAATATGTCTCCACGTGGCCAGGTGGGAAGGGTTGGATGTCCACACAATGGTCATTACTGCATTGGCCCAAACCCAACAGCCCTGCAATGTAATTAATCTATAGATCCTTGTGTGTGTGTGTTTGTGTGTTTGTGTGCGCGCGCGCGTGTATGTGTGTGTGCTTTTGAGGAAAGCAGTGACTGGTCTACATCTAGACCTTTCCTGATTGATCGCTCACACGAAAGCTTCATACATACCTTCGAAATTGCTGCAAACGATGTGCGTGTATGTGTGTGTGTGTATGCGCGTGCGCGCAGAATAGTACCTTTTGCCTCAGAGCAGACAGCCAGAAAACCATCCTCCACCAAACGAAACGCTGGACGTACACCAAAGATGTCCCTGCCCACGTAAACTTTCCTCTTCAACGTATCAAGCAAAACAAATGCAAAGACCCCGTCGAGGCGCTGAGCGGCAAATTCTATGCCGCCATGGTTGTACAGATGCAAGAAGGCCTCCCCGTCACTGTTTGTCTCGAAGTCAAAGTCAAACTGTTTCTGGATCTTAAAGGGAAATATATCAGAGAAATCTGATGGTATATGAAAAGAAACACAAATTCAAAGAATGCAGAGAAGAGATTATTTGTAACGCCACAGCGTCAATTGCCCAGTTCCAACTTCGCCATGATCTATGAACAAATGCAATAAAAATTCCTGTAATTTATTATCAAGATACACAGGTTCAGTGTATACTGTAATGCCTTACTTCTAACACTCCTGAATAACACTCAATTCTGAATTTTAAAATTTTCTTTTATTTGTGAATTTGCAAAGAACCTTTTGAGATATCTTGTCCACTACCAAACAAAACATGACTGTTGGCAGGAGAACTTAATTGTCTTATAAGTTTATCTTAAAGTTGTATCTTACCAGCTTATAGTTATAAATCTCCCCATTATATATCATCCACAAATGTGGTAAAGAATGGATCCTCATTGGCTGAATACCAAACGTGTCATCAACAACAGCCAGGTGGTAGAAGGCCATGCAGCAGTTCTTTAGATGGTTCACATTTTCTACGCGGAAAGCATCAGGGCCACGATGGGCTATCTTCAAGGAATTGTGCCACTGAGTGGAGACATCAACGTCACTGCCAAATATTGCCCAAATCCCACACATTGTGTGATCAATAAAATGGGCAACAAAATCAATAATTAAAAAGACGAAGAACATGTGACTGGGATAAAAGTAATTACATGTGTAAAGTTATAACTAGAATAAAATAGAAAAAATGGGACCCACATTCGACTTCAATCATAACGTAAAACAGACTTAATTACCCCTTAGCTGGTCGAGGAGGAGTGTCAGACAATTAAACTGCACTTTATCAAGAATCCATGTAGATCTACTGGTACAATAAGTTTATTCTAAACG